GCACGTGTCCCCACCCACCATTCACCTAAATCAGCTCCACATAATCCCCTATGCTTCTACCTACCGGTCCGAATCCCATGCTAAAGTACTGCAACTTCAACTGGCCATAACTTTGCCGTTTCTACACGGAATTGGATATTTCAAGATGCTATCGGCATCAGGAGCTTTTGAATAATGCGATTTTAATGTATTTGCACTTTTTCCACTAACCATCGCTTCAGAAATGCCAATTTTACCCTACCCCCAAGTAGAATCACCACATCAGTTTTCTACCTTTCTTGCCAACTGCTCTGCAGTGTCCATGGTCCGCCCACTATCGTGCACTTCTTTGGCCCAAGAAGCCCACACTTGAGATAGGAATACTTGGAAGTGCCAATTGACATGAGAGAGGAAGGGTGCGCGAGGAGCAAACATGAATTTCAGGAGCGGTTGGGTTGTGGTGAGTATGATTGAAACCATACCAGTTGAACTCAAAGTTCCACAATTCAGCCACCATTGCCACAAGTCAACAGACTCCCCATAGATTGATATGTTTCTTGTCTTTTAATAGCTAAAATCTAGAGCTATTCTCATGTTTTATGGATGCATTTTTTGCAGCATTTCTTGGGGTGATTCATATGTGGCTAGACATAGACATTGGTGGTGAGCACACACACAATTGTGTGTTTCACTTGTAACAGACGTGAGCAACAGGGCAGTGGTCACTATGGGCCTCACAAAAAACCACTTCTAGTACAAATTGTTGGTGCATAGTACTCATTTTGAGTCGCGAAGCACAGGGCGAGCTATTAGTTTGCCTATTAGGTGTTGTTAGTTGCCAAGCGTCTCAAAAACTTTTGCTTGATACCTTGCTTCGGAAACCATGCCGACGGAAATCCAACACGGAAACGGGCGAGCCACCCCGCCACCAAGACATTGCTCCCGGCCGCGCACCCAGCCCCAACACCGGCCTGTGCAGCCAGCCACCGTTTCTGGGGGCGGACAGAGCGCCGCGGCCTCCCACCTCCAAGGTTGCCCCAGCCCGCGCCGCCGGACACGTGGCCCGGCGCGATCCCCCTCAAACGCCGCGCTGTCGCCACGTTGGCTCATTTTCGCGGCCAGCCCTTTTTCGTCCGCACCCCCGGCCCCCAGCCTTTTCGACCAGATCGCCCACAGCCCCAATCCGAGATACCGCACCCAAAAGCGCAGCCCCTTTCCCCCTTTCCCCCCCCCTTTTCCCGATTCGGTAACCCGGCCAATTTTCTGCTTAATTCTCCCTCTTGCGCGGGCCGGAGATTGCCCGACGCGCCACTACACACTCCGGCGTATCCAGGCGCGCACCCCCTCCACACCCACCCAGGTAGCCCACCACCAAACCCACTCCAGCCCCGCCAGTACGGCAAACCGCCTGTCCGCCTTTCTCTCTGCGCGGCCCGGGGAAGGCGAGGGTCCGCAGCCGCCGTCTCGTGCCCGCATCATCGCGAGGGGCGGATCCGGGGAGCGTGGGCGGAGGCCGGAGCTGGGAGGGACGGCGCGTGCGGTGCCGGCGGTGGCCGAGAGCGTGGCAGGTCGGTCAGAGAACCTAACACGGCGCCAGGCGCCGCCCCGGGGCGCAATGCCTCCCTCGCTGCCGCGCCAGAGCGCCGCGGATTTGCTCCCCCGCCTTCCCTGGTGGCACGTCGCTCGATCAAGAGCGCTACCCCGCAGCTGGGTTCAAAATGCGCATTGCTATCCCGGTCTTTGGGCCTTGCCCCGGTCCTCAGCAACCGCGCGCTCCCCCACCCACCCCCCTTTTCCAAATTCCTCCGAGCGCCGCCGAATTGACTTACCAGCCTGCCGCGGCTGGCCCCATCGCCCCATCAACCGTCGCCATGGCCGCATTCCCATTTCCGACCACCGACTCTCCCCTGGCCCTGTCGCCCTGTGCTCCGCCACTAACCCTCTCGCCCCGGCGCCGACCATGGACCCCTCTCGGTCGCGCGGCTCGCCCGGACTGGCCAAGCCGCAGGCCAGCCTCCGGAATGTCCTTCCTGCCACCGGAGCCACGCCGGCATTTCGCCAAACCCGTCCACCCCGATGCACCCCACGAAATTTCGGCATCAAAATTTTCGCCACCGCGCACGCCCGCAGGCGCCGCGGCGCCGGGATGCCTAATTGGCAAAGCCGCGCCCGGCACAGGGCCTTTCCGGAGCCCTCTTGTTCGCCCACGTCTCCGCGCACAGCCGTTTCTGACGCCACCGGCCACGGACGCCGGTCTCTTTCGTAATCACCGGCCTCACGGAACACTGCCGCGACGCCGCCGCGCCCTGCCCCGCCCAACTCAACCAACCCCCGTTGCTTTTTCGCGTTTTCGCGCATCTTCGTTGCGCCACATGCCGCATGTCCCCCCGGCTCTCCCCGCCCGTTCTCTGTATGGCCTGCTTCTTTTCTCTTTGCGGCCATTCTTACCTCCCCCCCCGCGCACGCACTTGCCTGGGACCGGGCCCCCTTTGCATGACCTGTTTCCTTCTCTCTTTGCAACAAATCCCCGCCCTTCCAAGCAACCTCTCGCTCGAGCCAGTCAGGCCGTCCCGCCGACCTGAATCGCCAATGTTCTCTCGCCACGCTGTGCCCGCAGATCTCCGTGGCCGAATAGCCCCCCGGTAGAGGGCTTCTGGCGCTCGAGGCGCGTTGGCGGGGTCGCCATGGCCAGCCCGGAGCCTCTGGCCGACTGGCTGGACACCAGCCTCACGGATGAGCTGCTCGCGTCCGTGGACCTCGGAGGGCCGTACTCAGGTGAGCCAGGCGGCATGGCACAGCACCCCCCCTTCCCTCTCTGTATGAGCTGTTCCTCGTTCTCTCTGGCAAAAATCCGCCTTTTCTTTCCCTTCGCTGTTGCATTTGTTCCGCCGGCGCTGGCGATGCCCGAGGCCTGGAATTCGGCCAAGGCGAGCGGCGGAAAGTTTGGACATGGGGTGGGATGGCAGCGCCGGCGCGTTGCAGCCCCAGGGAGCTGCCCTTTGCAGGGATTTTGTTCCCGCAGCTTGTTCCGGCAGTGTTTTCCGGCGTGGGGTGGCGGAGCCGAGCGTGGCACCGTCCTGGTGACCTGGGCTTGAGGGCACCATAGGTGAGCCGGGGGAAGCATGGGCATTCTGGTAGCCGATCCCGACGCTCTGGGTCCAGCTGACGGCCAGACTCTGGGTTGCGTGCTGCTCCTGTGGCACTTGGCATTCGCAGCAACTCTCTGCGTGGGGACAGAGTCTTGGGCAGAATCTAGTCCAGGAGGTAGCAGTCCCTTGTGTGGCAAGTTTTGCTTGTGTCCAGGAGGGAGCGGTCCGTTGTGTGGGATGTTTTGCTTGCCGTTGGACAATCTTCAAGCTCACCTTTGAGCACTCTGGGCTGTGGACTATTGGGAGTGGGAGTGCTTTTGTGTGGACAGCTTGCTACTTTTGTCCTGCGCTCAATTTCCTGTTCAGCCGCTGGTGACTAGACAGGGAACGAAGGGAACAGGTGGTCATGTGAAGGGCTTTGTGCAGGGCGGTTGTGTTGACCGGCAGTTCGCATGCTCTGGGCTGAAGTACAACAGGGCCTTCTCATGGGGCATGGGCAGTTGTCGATGTTGGTTGCGGTCCTCCAGAGCTGGGGTGGTGAGTGCAGAGATGTGTTAGAAGCTTCAGAACAGAGCGCTGTGTTGGAGCCCTGCCTGAGTGGCAAGATGGGGTGTTGGGGAATTGGCAAGGTTGTGTGCACAGCCCCACAGACGAGTTGTGTGAATGAACGTACATGGCTGTGGCTGTTGCGGATTCTTTGGCCCAGGGAGGGACGTTACAGTCCTGGCTTGAACATGGAAGAGCATCTGCTTCCTGCTGGGCACCTGCAGTGGCTGCCTTAACTGCCACGAAGGCTTCCTGTCCCTGTTTTGTATTCATTAGGACAGATTGAATTCCCTTCAGTAAACAGTCACAGATTCTTGCTGCTTGCTGACTGGACTGATTGATGTGTTGGTCCCTCAGCGGAGGAGAACAACCTGCTCTTCTCACTGTTCAATGACAACGGCGGTACTGGTGCATCATCGTTCAACTCGTTGGACGATGATATGCTTGAAGACATCGACGACAAGAAGGTGAGCCTGTGGGAATGAAATGATTCTATTGGCTGTTTTGTCCGGAACAGAGTCAGCGATGCCCGTCCTATTGGCGGAAGTGGATGAGGGCTTGTTTGGTGCAATTTGGGTGATGCACTCACAATGGGCACAGCAATTGGGCCATGTGGTGGTTTATCACATGGGAAGGCGGCAACAGAAGTGGGGACGACCATTCACCTGCAAAGTGTCGACTGGGTTTCTCTCGGCCCAAATTGGGCTGATGCACACCAGCACAGAAAGTTTGTGCTGCTTGATATTGGATATCGAGACAGTCAACCAACAATCATTGCGATGATGCAGGGCCAACAGTGCCCGTTAATCTCAGTTCTGGCAGGAAAGGTTCATGATGAGGGCCCGCTCAGCATGAGGATCGTTCGAGTGGACAGCATGCTGAATAGCACACCTCGAACATGGACTGCCCAGCTCACAGTCCATGTGGCCAAAGCACTCAGCACGTTGGTGCACGTTCTTGTGCACAGTCAATTACTGTTGTTCCATTGGGACTGCTTCAATTGCATTGTTTTGGTCCAACATCACTAGAGGAAGGGCTTTGATTTGTTGTTGGCTGTTGTGTTGTTTGTCCCACGAACAAGATGTTGCCCTTGCACCAACACAGAGTTGACAGGCACTGTCAGCATTGCATGATTTGTCTCAGATTGTGCAACAACGACTCATCCAAGGCTTTGCATTCAGCGCTGATGGCTGACGGCGTTTTGTGAAGCACAGCCAAAGCAGAAGTGCACACCCCAAGTTCTGTGGTTTGCAGCAAAAGTCAGGCATTATTGGAAGTATTGTGATCCACATGTGCCATTATGTCCAACCGTAAAGTAAGATCGTGTATGCAGTTGTGTGCCTGATCAGCAGCTCAAACAATCACAGTGTTGTGTGCCTATTTGCTTCCATTGACTTCTCTAGGCCTCTATTTGCCCTGGTGTGAATGCAGTTCACACCACAGGCATCTTTGGGGCATGGTCACAGCAAAGTGACCCAGCAATGGAACGTTGATCTTTTCAAATTTTACTGGTCGAATTGAATGGAGTCCTGAAGTTGGAATTGCAAGCAGGCTATCAAGATTCGGAGTTTCAGTGTATCCTGACCACAGGTGCTGCTGTGATTCCCTTTGCCCGTTTTCGCCTGGTTGGCAGGTCCACTGGCAGTATGTCTGTTGAAATCTTGGGTTTCAGTGAATCGCCTCCCAAGCACATTGTGAAACTTGGCTAACAGTGTTGTCCACTCTTGCCCACTTATTTTTGGTTCCAGGATGCCACTGGATGACTCATGCTGTGCAGATTTGTGGTGTGTGCACGATGCTGGTTGACGTGCTTTGTAAGTTGCGATTGTTATGAAGGTTATGAAGGTGTGGGCCTTGGTTGCAGGTTGTGCTGGCATCAGCGGCAGCTGCTCGCCTGAGGGGCGCCCAGGGCGGCTTGAAACATGCATTCAGCACTGGAGACCTGCAGGTAAAGTACTGAGCAATACAATGGTGCAGCAAGGAGAGCAGCTAAGCCACTTGTGTGTGTGTGTGTGTGTGTGTGTGTGTGTGCTAACTGAGTGCATTTGTTAGGTTCTTACTTCCTTTGCAAAGATGTTCCCTGTTTTATTTTCGTTGTTGACATTGTGGACTGTCAACAATATCAACAATGTGCTCCTGCACCAATGTCAGAATTTGGTCACGGAGCTCATTCCCAATAGTAGAAATAGCACCAAGGGTGAAAGTTGGCCGCACCTGAAGGTGCCCTGACATTTGCAGGGCATAGTTTCTGTCAGTTGCGCTCAAAGAGCTATCCTGATAAATCATCGTATGTGTTGTCCCAATGCGCTTGCGCCATGTGTCATGCAGCATTGTCTCTGTTTCCCTTTGCACTTCTCATCTGCCTGTGTTTTGTGTATGTTGCTCTTTTCTGGTCGCAAGCTCTCAAGCTTGTTGTGTACAGAGAGCTTCCCTTTTGCAGTCATTGATTCTTTTGGCTATGTGCACAGGCCCTCACGCCTTCGTCCCCCTCGCCCGACGCCGGTAACACCCTCAACACAGCCACCAGCCTCGAAAGCGTCCCAGAGGGCTCCACCTTCGACCCTGGCGCCATCCCTGCAGTCACGTCCAACCCCACGAGCGGCACTCAGCCCCTGCCTAATCTCAACAACCTCTCCACGGATGAGCTGGAGGCTGAGCTCTCCCGACGGAAGAACTGCGCAGTGAAATCAGAGTCCAGCGAATCTGCCTCGACCGCCCCCGTTACTGCACCTGTGCCTCCACCGGGGGTGGTCCCTGGGGGGTATATCCCCGCTGGCGCAATGCACCCTGGGGGTTTTGCAGGCGCGTACATTGCGCCAACGGCGGCTGCGTTCGGGAGGGGCGGAGGATTGGTCGCCCCTGCAGGAATGGTGCCAGCGGCCATGGGGCCAATGGGAGCGATACCAGCGGGTATGATACCGGCTGCTGCGATGGGACCGATGCAGCCTGCGATTCCGTGCCAGCAGGGCATGCCCAAGGTGAGGGGTCCTTGCTTGCCGATGAGTTGGTAATGTGTACCAATTCATTTGCTGTTTTGAAGCAGTGGGTTGCATTTGCAAAGGACTGAGGTTGTGGCAAGGTTGCCCATGTGTGCGGGGATGCATTTTCCAAGGATGATCGTAGAAAGATGTCATGGATGGGATTGTGTTTGTCCAGCCTTCCATTCAGCCGAGCCAAAAGGTGTCGCATCTGACCATGCCATGCAGTGCAAGTTTCAGTCTGTGCAGGCCCATTTGTGTTGCTTTGGAGTTAATACCAAAGGATCTGCAGTGCGGCATGTGGTTTGTCATTCAGGTGTTGCGCTCTGGAATATAGAAATTTGAGAATCAAATGTTGATCAGAGAACAGCCTGCAAAACTGTCAGCATCTGCTTTGCAGGGTGCCTTGTTGTTGCTCTTGTACATGTGTCTGATTGGCGTTGTGATTTGGTTTCTTGCAATGAGTTTGGTGTGCTGAGAGGCAACATGTCCCCATGCAATTTTGCTTGAGTTTGGGTGTTCCCAGTGCCTGATACTTTTTTGTGCAACTGCAGATGGCACCTGGTGCTTTCTATGTGCAGGACGGAAACTTCATGATGCCAGGAATGCCCGGGCAGCAGGATGCGCTGCGATCAGCAGCACAGCAGGCATCAAACACGATGCCGATGGCGATGCCTGTGCCAGTGGCTGGGTGAGTCAAGAACAAGCAAGTGAAGATATTGTCAAGGCCGTTTGCGTGAAGAATGTGTCCAGTTTTTGTGATTTTGTTGTGGAGATTTTGGCAGATGTAATGTGCGGGACTCAATGTATATCCCGTCCCTGGTGGCTGGAATAGAGCTGCACAACTCCTTTCCTTTTTAATTGCAGTCAGCTGCTGGATTTCTTTTGTTCTAGAAATAGATTGTTGGGTCACCTTTGAAGAGTTTAATTCAGTTGCTGAATTGAGTCGTGCTTGATATCATACATTGATGTTGCACAATTGCTGCTAGGCTTGAAAAGGACCGTATCTTTCAGCACATGAGATTGTGTCATAATCAGCGTTGTTGACACTGTCAAAGTAGTGCACAAGAGGGGTATTCGCATGAAAGGTGTAGTTATTGTTGTTGAAGTCATCACAGAATGCGATGTACATCTTCACATAAGAACTTCCACCCAATGTACACATGACAAAACCATGTAAAACAGATACAAACATGGAAGTGAATAGGTTATCAATGTTTTCAGGCCTCTTGCCTCGTGTGGATTCCCCCTGGCCTTCGTTGTGTTTTGGTTCTTGCGTGACGATGCAATCTGCAACGATTGCAATTGGCTGTACTGATTCCAATTGGCATGACGGTCTGCAGCGCAACACTATTTGTTTGGTGGCGGTTTACAAGTGCCCCAGACAGCGCAAATTGGCGACCCTGGAATGCACAACCAACCCAAATGTGCATATCCACCTTTGAACCTTCCAATTGGTTTTCGAATGAAAACTGGGCACCCTTCAAGTCCTTTTGTCAGATACCATTTGCATTGCAATTCGTTCCAGCACTCTTGCTTCCACAGGATGCCCTCGATGCCCCAGCAGGCATTCATGTCGCAGCCGCCCACCGCCATGCCGTGCTCCGGGCCCTTTGCTGGCGCCCCCTGCCCGACCGCCGCAACCGCTGCGGCAGCTGCGGACTCGCCTGTCCGCGGCTTGCGCAAGTCGCAGAGCACCCCCACGCTGTCGAGCCTACCTGGGACAAGTGTGGCGCAGACCCTGTCCCCAGCTGGCGAGCTGGCAGGCGCAGGCGACGCGCAGAGGATTGGGCGCCTGACGGCGGAGGAGCGGCGCCAGAAGGTGCTGCGGTATCGTCAGAAGCGGCATGAGAGGAAGTTTGAGAAGAGGGTCACCTATCAGGTGTGCTTGTGATGTTTATGAGCAGCTTGGGTTTGAGATGTGCTTCCCATCCTACCAGGAGATTGTGGAGCTTCGGCTCTACAAGTGCTATGTTTCTGTTCTGTGTCAGTCGATCTCCCAAGTGGGTTCATGGAGTGGAAACTCGTCGTCTGCAAGGTCCGGTTATGTATAAAGGTGTAGCAAGCATTGAGCCAAGCGCATTGGGAAGGTGGGCGACGAACGCTGTAAAGGGCACTTTGCTGGCTGCAGAACAGCCTGGAACATGTTTGAAATACTCCCTGAAGTTTGAAGCATTGGATCATGTGGCTGCAGTGTCGGAAGACCCTTGCAGACAGCCGCCCCCGTGTGCGCGGCCGCTTTGCCAGGAATGACGACAGCAATGCCGTAATGCCACACCAGACCAAGAAGGCACTTGCAGCACAGAAGGAAGCTGAGGACCAGGAGGCGGGAATAGAAGACATGCTGGATGTGCAGATGGACGCCCAGTGTGAGGTATCCTTGCAAGGGAAGGGGCTTCACACCATATTTTGTTATTATGACGACTTGGTGTATCTGTGACACGTTCTATGTGTTGCTGTAGTGTTTCATCCATCCTCTGCTGTAGTAGTGGCGCCTTTGTTATGTGCATATGGCATGACAAACATGAATACAGGATAAAGATGCATATGGCCTGGCTTGGCCCAAAGGAATGGATGAGCACACCCTTGCAGCCATGTGAAATGATGCGCTCATCATGGCATATGTTTCTGCTGACTGTATGATCATCAGGCAGCATCAGTATTTCTGCCAGGCAACAAGGACCTCACCGCGTTTGGTGACGAGAGTACGGCAATTCCAAATTCAGGAAACTGTTTGTAGCAGTTAGATGCAATATGACAGCGGTGGTTGCAGCATTAGGATTCGGCATCAATATCTAGTTTTGGCACATACTGCTGTGACCGTTGAGATTATTATAACAAGAGTCAATCTTTTCAGAATTGAAAGCGGTCATTGATTGATTCCGATTGGGGGACTGTGTTGTGGCTGGCCAGTTGTTCCTGGTGTTCTCGGATGATGGCTGCCTCGATAAAAGGAATGTCTTCCTGCAACTTCTCAAGTGCTTCGCGTTGTCCTGATGCGATGCAGTTTACCACTGCTGTATATTCTGTTAGCTATTCTGTTGCTATCTTGTGCATTGTGCTTGCTGCATGCTTGCTATGATATTCTGTATTGCTGCATTGGCCTCAAGAGGAAGAACATTGTCCTTTCACCCAGAGGCACTAGCCCAATTTCAGGCAAACTTGCAACCGCAAATGGCCACAAATCCTCTCACATGCTGCTACTGTATTTGTCTGCTTGTTGAAGCAGTTGTTGCTTGCTGGCTCACTTCGTCGATTATCGATATTTTGTTAATGTTCTATCGATCTTGTCAGTTGGAGGTCCCATGTTGCTGAAATCAATATCTGGACAGGGAGGAATTCCCAAGGTCGAGCAGGATGATTGCCGTACTTCCCTTGACCTTCTCAAAGCCCATTGACGATGAGCTCCACGGGTGGACGGTGGCCTGGAAACTGGGCCTTTGGGCGGGGGCGCCCATGCCCAGTCGTACTTTGGGATGAAGACCTACTATATTAGAAATCTAGCCCACGAGCAGCGAGCGAGCACAGCCGAGCCGACCTGGAACGATGCCATTCGGAAATTCGCTGATGGCGCAAGAGCCCTGGGAATGGCCATGGTCAGACAGGAGCGAATCAAGATCTGGGTCTGTCATCAAGTTTGTTTGGGTGTGTCATTTGCGTGAGACAGCCTGTGCTAGTTATCCTCTTGTTGTAGCGAATTGGCTGTCAGGGCAGCACAGCCGCAGTGAGGGCACTGATGTGTCGAATGTGCTTGCACTGTTGTATCGAAAACATTGTTTAGAATGGAGCAGCCAGTGGGGCGATTGTGCCGGCAGCACTGTGAGTGTCAAGATGAGATGTGCAGGCACGAGATGTACACGTTGATGCTGGATGGTCACGTCACTGTGCCAAGATGACAAGATGCCAAGAAGGTTGCTATGGGAGGGCGAACATCGTTCTATTCAGTTTGTGGGGTTCACTGCCCTGTCCATTGCATTTGGATAAGCGAATTGGGGTGTGTGGCAGCCTGAAGTTACTGCAGTTTTGGTGGTCGGCAGGATGTGCTTGCCTGTGAGCATGGATTGGCACCGGAATTGGCATTCCCAAACCTCCCAACCTCGATCAGTGGCAAGACCAGGCTCTGGGTGCAGTGGGGAACCTGTGGCTGTGTGCCGATGGCCATTGCATTGGTGATGTTGCCAGCAACGTTTGGTTTCCGTGCGTAGTGGTTGGCTGTCAGCACTCGCTGTTGTGGTTTGTCAATAGTCTGTAGATCGTCTTTGTGGGGGCTGGGCACCAGACCAGAGCGAAGTGCTGTGCGCCCCCCGATTTTTTTTTTGGAAGGGGCCGGGAGGGGGCAGCGCGGCGGCTGACCCTTGGGACGGCTGTCGTTGACCGCCATCCCGTGGTCAACATTTTCAGGCAGAAACAGAAACCGTTTTTGTTCACGAGAGGAAGATTTGACTGACGGGGAATGGCGAACGGTGAACGTTCTTGGCTGCGAGCGCGCTGAGGTCTGCCTTGGGGAGCTGTTTTTTATATCCTCACTTGAGCCTTTGCATTTGTGGGTGGCTGCCGACTGTCGATGGTGCCCGGGGTCCAAGGGCAGGTTGGGCGGGTGGTCATTCGTGTCGGAAGGGGAATGTGGGGCTCCTGACCGTGTGGAAACGATTTTGAAGTGGTGACGGCCGCCCCCGTGTGGCTGGATTCATATTCTTGATTAAAATAACCCCCCGCCGTCGACGGCGGCGCGGGTGGGAAGGCGGCTTTGCGGGCGTCACGGACCACTACCGGTCACGGCAGGGAATTGTGAGCCGGGTTGGGCGGGGTGCAGAGGACTGGATTCGAGACAACCGCCGGCTGGACTTGTGTGTGCGCTGGACAAGCCGGCCAGCCAGACAGTTTGCGCCGCTGTGCCCTGTGGCGAGTGCGGGTCGCTCAATGGCCGCTGTGCGGAGCTGCCCCGTCGACTTGACGAGATTTTGTTCAGGGAATGCTGATTTGGTAGGCGGCCGTGGAATTGATTCGGTGGGCGGCCGTTGGTTGGGCGGAGTCGGACCATCGCACAATTTTCGAGGCCCGGGGTGTGGTCTTTGTAACATCAAGCTTGTTAGCCTGCAGTTTCAGCAGAGAAAGGACGTCGACACGTCCTCTTCATAAGTGGTGGTGTGCTCTCCTCGACAGGCCTGCCTGTCTTCAATGCATTGTTTCCGACAGGGATGGTGGTCGTCGGTGCTGGAAAGCTGGGTGGTTGGGAGTCCAACGGACTGCCTTGCTGTTTGCACCTGTTTCCGGTGGGCCAACGCTGGCCACGAGAAAGTTGTGTTGCCCAGCGGTCTACCGCATCCTCGTACATACGATGTGGACGGTCGTTTCAGGACGCCTGGATGCATTAAGGAATGTCAAAGACCGGCGGGTGGCGTCACGGAACAGCCGAAGCCATTTCGAAGCCGCCAATAATCGTGACGTCGTTGACAATCTGCCCAGGGAGACTGCACATTGGCCGTGGGGCACGACTGCGGCTGGTCGCCGCTGTGCAAATCGGACCAAAGCGACCAAAGTCGAGTTGCTTGGACTCTGGGTTTTCCCAAGGTCTCGCAAAAGAAACTCGTTCGGGCCAAGGTGTGACACAGCAGCCCTTGAAGAAGCAAAGCAGATGCTCGTGATGCCCACCCTGTCTCCGCCTTCCAGGGAGAGCTCCAGCGCTTTGCGCTCATCCACTGCCATTTGTTGCTGGACTCGCAGGCCCGTGGAGGAGACCCTTGGTGCCCAGGGGCGGCATGTCTGCCAAGGGTACCCCGCTGATGAAATGCAAGGCCATGTATGATTATATGACTAATGGTATAATGAGGTATTCTATGGCATATATACTATGGTGTACAATATGGGATGTATTTGAGTCCGTACCAAACAGTGTTGAATCTGGTACCAAATTCGCGTCAGCACCAAAAATGTTGTACGTGTACCACAAAATGTTGAACCAGCACCAATCAGTCATCGAATGGCTGCCTCAGACCAGCCTTGCGACCAGCACTGTGTTTGCGCTTGGCCTTTGCGCCAGAGGGCGAGCGAAAGCCGTGGCACCGGTGCGGGCGCCACAGAAAAACAGCTCTGCTCTGTGCGATGAGGATTTCCGAGGGCCGACATCGAGGGCGATCGCTCAAGCGCGTGGACACCTGCTACCCCCACACACCTCTGGCTTGGTGAGATGCGAAGATTGGCAGCAAGCGACGTCAGAATAAGGATGCGCAGCTGCACAATCCATGATAAACGCTGATACGCAAGGTTCGGAGTGGGACTATATCGGAGGCAGGCACAGCCACGGGCTTGGGGACACAGCTGAGGGTACAGAGTTACAGATAGGTCGCGGACAGGCATGTCCCTTATAGTCATACAGCCATCTCCCAATGATGGACGAGTCACTGTCGTATCAACGCACAGGAGAGATGGAACGTTGAATTGGCAACGAGATCGTCTGTCGATCTTCGCCGATGTGTACAGATTCTTTGACTGCCGACCACTCCCGTCCCACACCACAACACTTGGGTGTGGTGCAAAGGGGATATAGAGTGGCATCGAAGCCTAGATGCGCAGCAGTGGCACCCACACTGTGGGTTCCACAGTGGGAAACGCAGCAAATTTGAGTTGCTGAATTGGAAACACGATCGTTTGCAGATTTTGCCAGTGCTTGAAGGCTTGTGTGACCCCAATGCTAATGTTCTTTACAGACAATGCTCAGTGCAGCTCTCACCACGGATACAAAACATAGTGTCTCAACACAGATGTTGGGCAAGCAAAATGTGCAGTAAGGGTTTGTCCATTGCCGATGGCTCCCCTCAAACAAATAGAAACTAAGGCTTAATTGAAGGCTTCAGTCCCTTTCCAGGGCTCCACCATCTTGCGCCTTCTTTGGCCTTCTTCTCTTCCCTTTTTGTTCGCATGGCATTGGCTTGGCCACCTCTGGAACCACTTCATTCCTCAACAGAACTTTGGGTTCAAGATTGTGCTTGCACAAACCTGTCTTCATCATCACCCTACACTGGCAGTGGAAGACCTCCTAAGTGTTGAGAACTGCAATGCTCCAGTATGCATTCTTCACCTTGAGATTTCCTCCCAACAGGTCATTCGTTGTAGGTTCGCCCCGTACTTGTACACCAAATACGTACCAAATACCGTACTTGTACACCATCGCCTCCAAATCCTCCTTTGCAATTGTCTCCCCCGGCGGTAATTGTTGTAGACACTATTACAGGTTTGCTCCTTGTCCACTGCCATGCTTTTGTCCACAACTTTGCGGTCACCGTCTTTTGGACTGCGAAAGACTCCTAGTTGAGAGTGGCGGACCACTCTTGGATGGCCGCTTTTCCCCGCTTCACAAATTTCGGTAAAGGCAGCCGGTCCTCAGCATGTAGGATTCCTTGAAAGTGTTGTCTGTTGCTTCCAGCCCATTGTTCATGCTTGGATGCTGAAGACTGAAGCCTTCCCGCCAACCAGAAAGTACAACCATCCATTGTGTTCAGAAGTACTCTTGAAAGGCATCCAAGTTTCTGTTGCTCTTCATCCGCTCCTCAAGCAATGCCATGGCTGAAACGCAATACCTCTCATCACTGCTGAGTTGGATGAGTTCCAATCCAGCAAGCACATATCCTACCAGCTCTTTGTCCTTCAAGCATTTCAATTGACAATCCACAGTGCGGTGCACATGCGCCAAGCACACTGTTGACTGCACAATTGATCGCTTGTGCCCCATCACCAACCACAACACCTGGGTTACAGCTGATGCTAGTCAGTCTGGGGCAGCAACCTGTCAGAGTTCTTATCACAAAATCTAAGGATTCTGCACCTTCGCTTGAGATAACTGCAAGGGCCTATGGCCGAAAGCAATGACTGTGATCACTCAACCCAACCACCATAACTCGATACCCTTGCCATATGGTATGATACTTGCCATATCAGCCCGATACCGTATGTGGTATCCAAATGCAAGCTGCCCCCTGGGCCATGAAGAGAAAAGAGCCAGGCTGTCATCAGGCACAAGTTGTGGGTCACAAGGCACCCTTGGAGCCCCTCTTTGTACTCGATCCATGGTGCCAACGTCCATTGCTGTCAATCGATTGTCGACTCAATCAGCCATCGATTCGATCGACCATCGAGTCGATCGACCATCGAATCGATAGTCGTTGTTGCCTACAGACGGGCTGTCAATGAGGAAGACACCTTTGAATAGTGTGCCTCCTTCACCAGAACGCAGGGTTTATGGGCCCTGCGTGGCGGCGGATATTTTTGATTAAATTGTATTGGTTACACCGTTCAACAACTTTAGACGAGCGCAGATTTGGTACCAGAATCAAGATGCGTTGGTACTAGTTTCAAATTTATTTGGTACTTTGGCAGTTTGGTGCCACATTCAATATTGTTTGTCACGGAGTTAAATAGGTCCCATTTCTGTGGGCAGGCCATCTGTATTTACTTAGCCTTCCCAGTAGCTCAGTGTCGAAAGGCTTCCATTTGTGACTGCCCCATGGGCTGGTGAGTCACGCCTTGTCACTTGCATTTTACAGCAAGCGTCCAGTCCAGAGCCCAACAGTAAAGACTCCACCAAAAACAAGACACCCCACTGAGACTGCCAGCAGAGAAATTCGCACAATGCGCTTCCATCAAATAAGCACCTCAGGGGCTTGCATCACAGGCTGCCTAATCGCAGCATCCTTCTGACGACCCTGACGATGTCTTTCCGATTGAGCTTGCCACAGGGCACTCACACGTTTTCTAAGGATCGCAGTCCAACCCCTATGTTCTCAAGGGGTACAGTACCTCGAGTCATCCACCTTTTCAACTCGGCGCTCACACTGACCAAGAACTCCTTTTGAAATTGGTAAATTTTCAGCAGGAAAGGCGCAAAAGAATCAAAGAACAACAACACCAAATCGGTGGCAGCGAGGAGACCGACAATCTGCCAAGAATTCGAAAGAACCCACAGAATTTCTCTCTCCAGCTCCAGCTCTGCAGGTGAAGACTCTCCTGGCTCCCTCAGAGTTTCCTTCCTCAGTACCAACAGGTCGTCAGGTTAATCCGCAATTTCCAGGATGATGCAGCTACCCACGAACTTCCTTGGTAACTTCTCCACAGCCTTCACTCGTTCACCACAGTTCCTTGCACAGAAGTAGTCACGTCAGCCTCAATTCCCTCCTCAACTCTGCCTCCATAACACCTCTTCAGCACTCCTGGAAGCTGCCTCTTGCCGCCTCCCTCGCTTTCTTCACTTGCAGAGAAATCGCCTTCCTCGCCAGCCACAAACTCGTCAACCTCCCTTCTGTGACCTTCCCGACGTCTTCTTGATCCAACGGTTGACCAGTTCAGTCTCCAGCAAAATCCCCAGGCCTCCCTTTCACAGGCGCTCCTGGTAGCGTCACACGGATTTGATTCACAGGTGGCGTTTCGTCACCGGTCGCCTCTTGATGCCGGTCAGAACGTCCCCTCATAGCCAGCCGTCCAATGCCTCGCTTCGCAGTTGATTTCGGCGACGGCCAACGTCACGACTCCCTTCGCCACCCTCCGAAACTCCTGAAAATTTGTCCAGTTTGTCGCCAGCACCTCAGGAGGCTCCACAAAGCTTGGCCACCGTTGCTCACTGGCCGTTGACCAGGAAACTTCTTCCAGACCACTTCGCAGCCAAACCGCAGGTATCAAAGACGTTGCAGGACAGCTGCCAGTGCTCCGCTTCGTTTACTGGCATGACAAAGACTGCGAACCGCATCCAACGAACTCGGCAACGTTCAAGGAGCTCAGGGAATGTCTTTGGGGCAAGTCCTGGCCCTCGTGGGTCAACCGGCGATGCTAAACACGCGATTCGAACACGGCGCAGCCGGCCGCAGCTACTAGACGTCAGGGCTGCAAAGTCTCTCACGTCGCGAGCGTTCAGCACGGTCTCGACGCACTTGGGCACAAAACGCACCGTCCCCGCAGTTGTGCGTAGCTTGCAAGCTTGCAAGCCCAATTGGGCGGACCTCATTTAAGCACACGGTCGCCTCGCGGGGCGTTCCTCATGGCGCAAAAGCGGCCCAAATCCTTTACACAACTAGACGTCCGTCCCCCTCCCCCTTACAGCACCGCCCTCGTCCCGCCAAGAGTAAACAACCAACTTCCGCACTCTATATATGACCCAGGGGACTTCCTCGTACCGCAAAGGTATCAAGGAATGTTCCTGGCTCAGCTCAGATCAATTCAAGTCATAAAGTACAGCGGGAAGGCAGTACAGCTGCCTGACATTTCAAGAATCGCTTGATATCGGTTTTCAACCGGTTCCAAACCACTCACCTTCAGTCCGGCGTGGGTCGACTCAAAACCCATCAGATCCTATCAGAAATATACCACGGGCATTTTTCGCCGATGGCAGTTGCCACGGGAGTAGTTACCGCTAGCACGGGGTTGGGGAGTGCTAAGGCGGCGTTGAACGCCGGGAACTTCCCGGCAACTGCAGGAACGATTAGTGCGGGTGCGAGGTTCGCCATGCCTGGCGCTGGATTGGTGAGCTACTTTCTCGGTGGCTCTGCTTAAGGGGGCATGCTGGCCTTCTGGCATCGCGACATCCTGCATGTGGGGCTCGGGTCCACACTCGGACCCGCGTTGGACGCAGGCACACCAAAAAGGTGGATGCTGCGCTGTGCTTTCAGACACATTCTCACGAATGAAAACTTGTCTGTAATTGCGTTTAGTTGTGGCAAACTTGCTCGATGCAGATTGGTGCACAGCATGGGTCTCAAGGACCTTGTGGTCTTCTAGACAGGAACTTGCACCACAAATGGGAGATCCTGACAGTTGTGCCCTACGCCAATTCTACCCTCTGAATTAGACATCGGGGGCCGCCACCCTGACAGCTCTACAACCGTCTGGTCAAGCGCCTATGGCACTGTAGAGGCTGTTTTTTTCAACTATGAAATTGGCAAGCCTGTGCACATGACAGCTAAATATGCAACAGGGCTGTTTGGCACACAAAGCGCGCAGAGCTAGCTCCCATTTTCTGGCAGGTGCTGGGTTTGATGAGCAGGGTGCCTGTCCACGCAAACACAGTGCTACACTACAGGGGTCAGGTGTATGGCAAGATGGGGGAACACATTGGCAAGCACAATGCCTATATTGTCAAAGAGCTGATGCACTTTAATCTGCATGAAGCGATGTCATGGGGACGGGTTCTAGGAATGCACGCCATTCAGCCTGATGGTGAAATATGCCCTAGACATCGTCATTGGGCTGGAACACTTACATCGGCAAATAGAATCTGATTGGCATCCAGTCCTGGGGTGGATGGGTGGTGCGGGAAGTGGCATGCAGTTTGAATGGAATGTCCAATATGATGCGAAGAAAGGACACGTGTTTTGATTCTGGGATCGCAAAATCTGATGTGATGAACACTAGGGGGAACACCCAGGCGCATGTTGATTTCGTCTGCCAGTTCTTTGCAAGCTCAACGTTTCATTTTCTGGAGGCTTGCGCTGTGCGGTCGCTGGCATCAGTGCCGCCCCAGAGCGGCCATGCAGATCTTGAGCACAGGCGTCATGGCTGCACATCTACCAAGAATGTTTGGAAGGTGTTTGGTGCCTGAGTGCGATTTTCTGTACGTCCAAATTGAGCCACCCTGCCATCTGCTCGATTGGGATGGACATCGGTGTGTGGTAGCACCAACCCCACACCGACTTCCCCGTCTCAACCCACCCATTCTATCCGGTCATCGCCCTCCCATCCTCAGCAGCTTTGCTTGCTCTGTCAAAATCCAGACGCTGGATTGCTAGAGCATCGCCAACGCAATGCCCAGCGAGGATGCCCATCATTCTCTAAGTCACGGTCACAGTTTGAGCGTTGTGAAATGGACTCGATTCTCTACCTTTCGTTTTGCGTATCTGGGTGGTTGAGGGCCAGTTGGCGAAGTGCAACCTTGTCTGATTCTGGACGCCAACATTTGCGCTGTCTTTGGAAGACATCGGGACTGAATTGCTGCCCTTCTAAAGCCGAATGGTTCATTGTAGGTCGGCCTGAAGGGCTCAACTCCAAGGGCCTCAGGGAACGGCCCGATCCCGCAAGTCACACCCTCCCATCGCCGCCGGGCTATTCCCCAGAACTGCGCCGCTGCGTGGCAGTCGGCAGGTTCTACTTGTAATTGTTATAATGATTTCAATTCTTAGAATTGCCACAATTGCCGTAAATGTACACGGCACCACTGCGCCAAGACAATGGAGGAATGCCAATGCGCTCAACGGCAGAAAGCGGAAATGCACGCAAGTGAATCCAGGGGCGACCCTTGTGCGTGAGGGCTCAACAGGCGACCACCACCGCATCCGCGCCGCTTCCTGGGTACGCGCAGTCATGTGGCCTCGACTGTGTCTTGAATATTGAATGGCACATGGCCACGTCACACATACGGATACATATGTGGACACGCGCCACAGGGATTCGCCCCGCGCCGGTATGCACCGGCATCCGTGGCATCCTTCCCCACAGAACAAGACGCTTCAAAACTTTGGAGCGTTTCCGCACTCCCGCCCAATGAACACACAACATCATTCCGTTCCCCAACACACCATGCGCGGTTCCCAAACCACCCCAATCCCCCCCCCCCCCAGTATCCCTGCCCCGCTGCAGCAATCCTGCCTCAAGCCCTGCTAGGGGCCGCACAGCCGTTCGTGCTGCCAGGGGGAGGAATCTAGAGAAGCAGCTTCCTGGATGAGCCCGACGCCTTGAGCGCGTCGTACACTTCATCCACACACGTGTCCAAGTGAACGACGGTGACACTGGAGGCCTCAGAAAGGCCCTCGCCGAAGTCGTTGTCATTGGCCATCGCCACAACGCACTTGTTGAGCAGCACGACGCCCTCCTGCTTGTCGGTGCTGTCCCAGCCCTGCGCGCGCGCAACGCCGCCGCCCACATTGAGCGTGGCGAGTCCAGCAGGCCACACAACGCCAGCAATGATTGGCAAGAATACACACACGCACACATTGGCTGCACTCTGTGAGAGGTGGATCGCACGATACAACAATCCCCCAAGGCGTGTCAGCTGATTGATTAACCAGCAACCTAATCATTTAACACGCGCGACACTGTGCACTGACCACACCAATTCATGCACTGAACGCGCCAATTTCGAATGCACCAAAGGGCGTATTGCAGCTTCCCCAAATGAGTGTGACTTGATCGCCGTCCAAGAAAGCAGCAGCCCCCGCACCTCAATCAGGGGCTCCGTGACGTTGCCCGTGTCCAGGAAGATCGCTTTCTTGGCGGGGCTGATGCCGAAGCCTTCCAGCTTCGACAGGGTCTCGTCGAACAGGCCTGAGCGCGAGAGCCCGGCCCCTTTCAGGTCTGGTGCGGCCACAGTACTTACATGCATGTACAGAACTTCGACTCGGTACTTTGCTGATGCAAGACAGGCGCGAGTGAATTTCCAGCAAGCAGTCGGCGCCATTGGCTTGGATGGCGATTGGTGCTTGGCAAGCTGGGCAAGAGCAGCAAAGGATAGACGGATACCAATGAAAGTCGATGAAAATGGATATCGACAACTGCATTATCGAGCATGAACTGGAAAAAAGTCCAGCCATGCCATCCAATTACTTCTTCACTGCTATTTAACGATTCAGTGCATATTGAACACTGAGCGGACTGCGCAGTTGATGCATATTACGTGAACATCGCTCCTGCCGAAACGGTCGTGATTGGATAGGCCAGGGGGGCGTTTTGCCAAATGTCCACTAATGCGCTCGAGCTCTGGTTTCAACTCAGCTCAGGGCGAATTGCCAGAAATGTTTGTACACGCAAATTTCCGAAATTTCTCGACACATGCATCAAGGCAAGGAGGCAGCCATCACCTTAATTTGCACAAGGTGTGTAATTTTCATCGCTGGGGCATATCCCACTTGAGAGCGGCTAACAGCAATGCGGTGCAGCATTTCACAAACTCAATTTACTGATAATATTCATCTTTGCCAAGTTTCCAGCATTTCCTATCTGTAATGTTTGCATGCTGCAGCTGCCCCAGCCGGAGGCGCAGAAGTATCGCGAAGCGGCAGTTTGACATCGACATCTCACAATCGGATGGCTAAACATAAATTTGGTGCCGTACCAAGGTTGTCAAAAGTGAGATTGGTGTTCATGGGGCTGTCCACGACGTCAGTGGCGTTGGTGAAATCCGCAAGGAAGAGTTTGACCTGGTCAAACAACCGGTGAATCAACGGCATAGGACAATTTCTACATTGACGAAGTGCAAACGCCAGCTGCAAGACATAGCACCAAGGAGATCGACACATTGCATGTACAGCACGCGACGATACAACAGTTTCCCAAATTTGCTTTTGCACCGGCGAATTAAGCGCTTGTACATTGTTAGAGGGAAGGGTGTCAGAAGCAACACGTTCCATAAAACTAATGATGTCCCCTGCAGAGGACTGTCCCAAAAGCACTGCAATACATTTGTCTGTACAATAGGATGCTTGTCAAATATTGGCACACTTTTGCTGTGCACTTTTCCAGGGTGTACGGGAATGCGAGTTGTGTGAAGGATATATGCACTTCTGCCCCATATGAAATCATTGCAAAGTTCTGAAAATCGGACTGATCCTTTGAAATTAAGGTACCTATTTTCAGGGCTCATAGAAAAAGCGGACCAAGCAAGAACTGCGAAATACTCAGGCTTGTATCATTTTATTTCCCAAGCGAGTGCTGGGAGACCAAGCATTGGGCGTAAGCATCACTTCATTCAGTCTCAGGGCGCTAATAGCCACTTGGTGCACTCCCATGGTTTTGCCTCAGGAGGCCCATAGCGTGGATGCCTGGCAATGCAAAGAGACGCAATGGTGACGCAAATGCGCATGCAGATCAGCAGGCATATCAGTTGTGAAAATCTGCGCAAGCATGTTCGAATAGAGTGGGGCAAGTCTGTTGTATTGCTTGGGCTGCGGATGGAATCGAAGCATTCTCCCCAGGTGACTCCACGACAATGATAGGGCGCTCATGCAGCACAACCGGCACAGTCAGAAATGCTGAGCAGTCGGCCATCGAACTAAACCAGAGAAGCCATTGTGACGTCCCTGACACCTAGTCCAATGAGCGCCGGTGCTTTCATCAAATCTTATGTCAAATGCGTCGTCCGATATTCCTTCTGTAGTGCCAATGTGGCATCAAACAAGCAGTGCATGTTCTGATTCCAAAAGAGCGCGTCACACTAAAGCACCCCACCATGCCTGCTCTAACTGGCGGTGCGCATGTAGGGTAGCAGCATGTGTGTACTTACACAGTCGAACAGATGATGCTGGTATCAATTTGGAAAGGGGCCCCACCTGCTTGACGGACCTCTCCAGCACAACCAAGACATCGTTGTCGCTGTCCACGAACTCCGATGCCCAAAAGGCGGCGCTGATCTTTGTGTCAGCGGGCTTCTCCGTCCCGACCCACAGATCGATGTCCTCAGCGATGTATAGGAAAAGACCAGCGACCTTGGCATCCATGGGGTTGGTGATGTCCAGCTTCACTACGTGGATGGTGTGGGACAGTTCGCTGGTGGCGTTCTTGTTGGGGCCCATGGCACTCTGTGTGAGGGGAAGCACAGCCATTCATGACCATTGGAATGGGAGACGCAATCGACCGCACATTCATGCTGCAGTCTTTGGCTCAAACTCGGCATATGCATATGCACATGCAGACATGTGTACTCACAGTACATACCTAGTGCTTCAGTGCCTGTTCTCCCCAACTTCATCCTGAAGTGCTGACTATTCTTTGCACCAGAATTGCTGTGTCATTGAAATGTCTGGAGGCTCATGATCTGTTCCATTTTGGTTACCCAAAAGTGCATGGTGCGCATTCTGCACAGGTTCCTTGTCCACCCCATTCCCCTCAATCTCATTCACTGGTTGAAAGCAATCATGTTCGCAGGGGGAGCAGCTACAAATGGCAAACTGATGACAACCAAGCACTGTTGCTTCAAGTCCAGCCCCAAATCCGTAAGCCACATGTTTTCTAGTGTGTCTTGCCATGCAACTGCCATCAGCAAATTGTACAGTGCTTCCTCTTACCTGCAGCAGCAAGTATGCGGACTTCCCGTCCGGTGACACTGCAGCGCTCTCGATGCCTCTCCCCTTCCTGCGGTTGAGGATGGCACTCGGCAGATTGGAGCGTACCTGACCAAGACAGCAAATGGCAACTTTTTGAGGTGGCAACATGTTGGGGCAGCAAGCAGCACGAATGAAGGGTATGGCAATGGATTGCCCATCCCATGCAATGGATTAAAAGCATCGCAAACACTGTAAAGATGAGTAAAAGCGATTCTGGGCCTCACTGGAAGGAGTTGGTCCTTTTCCCTTGCATACAGATGACCATCCAAAGACAGTGGAATACGCCATTAATCGGAAGAAAGAAGAGCTGAAGACCAGTGCTCTTGTTCTGGCAACAACATGTCACATGATGAAGGTACGATGCCAAGCACCAAGTGTTCCAAGGAAGTTTGTTTGACATGGCCTTGGATTCGCATCAGTCTACTCCCAAGAATTCCTATCTATTGTTCATTAACTCATTCATGTATATCCATCACTGTAAAAGATGTACTCTATTGGCAAATTGTACAACTCAATATTCGCCCAATCAGCCATCATACATCCAATGCCATCTACTTAGAAAGTGCCAGTCATGACGCAGAAGCTCCTCCCACCTCATAGGATGCGCCGGGCAGCTCCAACCCCTCAGGTACATATCGAATCATCACCGTGCCACAGTCCTCCGATTCAAAATTGCAGTTGAAGACTATGGCCGAAGGGCTGTACTCATCGCCGCCCAGGCACAGATCCGTTCCAGGAATCCTGTGGATGTCCTCCGGGTCGATCCCATTGGGAGACCTGTCAATTTCCGTCTGGATCAGACACACCAAGCCAATGCCTTCAACCATACATTGTGAGGTTCTTCCGCCAGCAAACACAGGGTGTCAAATCTCTGCTCACAGACGGCTGGTGGCTGTGCTACAAGGAGATGGGTTTCAATCCTGTGAGTATGTCGTCCCTGACTGCATTCTCATGGCTCGCCCAGCAAAGCTTGACCCCTAGACCCCTGGGTCAAGGATGGCAGAATTTGGACTGTGGTGTCTTTGTGAGGGCTTTTGTTACCCATCTGATCGAACTGCACACAAAAGAATCCATATCGGATTCTAGCGGCCTTCCAAGGAAAGAAGGTACACATTCAATTGCCCTTGCCCATGCATGTGCACATGTTGACACTGAACAAAAGCCACATGCACATTCACCGATACACCCGCGGTACAAAGTACTGGATGAGTGTGTCGACTATTTTCTGTGATGCGATACATTGAATGGAAGCTTTCTGACAAAATACGCCCCATGCAATCTCCTTCCTCTGCTCTGCTTTCCCATCCAGATTCTGTGAAATGTCAAGTGCTCAAAAGCACAGCCAGTCACAAAGAGCACCTCCACAATCGTGCTCCCTCAACAACTGAAAACTTGTCCTTGTCCGTTGCAGGCGAATGTCTCACATGGCAAGTGAAAGCCAAACCAGAGATAGAACAACAGCGAAACCCTGCCAGACCCTGCCGAGTGTGTGAGACTCATTTTGCAGCAATTTTATTCAGCCAATTCGAACCCACAAAAGGCTCCATTTCGATATCAGCTCATCACACAGAAATCCAACTTCAATTCCAATTTGTATCTCAATTCAATGTGCACTTTCTGTATTTTCACTTTTCTTTTCTAATTGTATGTTCGTATCTTACTGTAACTTTTCAATCAACTTGTATGATGCAACTAATGCATATCACATTCTCAACCACAATTTCAGCCGCGAACTGGGCCAAAAAAACACTCCCGTGCCCACCTCGCAGCCCGCCTCCATGGGCACGTCGTCCCTGTCCGTGTTCGGCAGCCCGTTCAACGGCTCGCCGTCCGGCCCCTTGAAGAAGCACGTCTTCTCCAGCGCCATTCCCCCCGCCTCCTGATCAATCCTGAACTCCGAAATCGTGGGCGCAAAAGCGGGCACGAAATAGGCGCTCTGGCGCACGCCCGCGGGCAGCGGGGGCTCATCCTCGGCGGGAGCCGGGCAGGTGCCAAATGGGCCGTTGTCCGTGACGCCCATGAGACGAATGCCGTCGTCGGCAAGCGCGGAGAGGCCGAGGCCGGAGAAGAATGCGGGCAGCTCCGAGCAGTAGTCTTCGTCCGCCCTCGTGTCGCACTCGGCGCCCGATTTGACGTTGGCCAGCTGCTCGTCGGTGAGGAAGGGGTTCAGCGTGCGCAGGCCTTCGAAATCGGCCGCAGGGATGACGAACCAGTGGCCCAGGACGATGGGGTTGGGCGCGGGGTCGGTGGGGAGGTCGGAGGGGGTTAAGTACTGGGCGGAGGCGGAGGCGATGAGCGCCAGGGCGAGCAGGGGGGACAGGGCCGGGGGCGCCATGGCGGGGCGAGGTGCAGGTAGCCGAATTCTGATGGAGCGCCTGCGGAATGAGCAGCAGAAAGTGCGTTGGATTGGGGTGGGGTAGGGAGTTGAGAGAGCGAGTTGGATCAGTTCAACCACTTCAATCACCACTTCAGCCATTTCAGCAGTTTCGGCCACTCCAGCCACTTCAACCACTTCATCTACCACTGGGGGTGAGATTGGAGAGTCGATGGCTAGTCAAGCGAAAGAGGTGCCGAGGTGATTGCGAGCAATGGCAGCGGATGGTTTGAAAGCCGCCGGACGGCAAGCAATGGGAACCTGCGTGCGCGACTGAGGGAGAGAGCGCTGGGCGCAGAGGTGGCGTGTGATGTGCAAAGGCGGCCCAAAGGGGATGAACCGAAATGTCTCGTCAATTGCAGGAGAAGGGGCCAACCCATGGGAGCGACTGAAAACAGGCGCCAAAATAGCCTCGATGAAAAACAAAGAAAGCGTGTGCGCGACTGAGGGGCGAAGGGCTGGGCAGAGAGGTGGGGTGTGATGGCCAAAGGCGGCTTCAAGGGGATGATCAAAAACGTCTCGTCATTGCAGGAGAAACGGGCGAACCCATGGGCGCGACAATAAACTGGCGCCAAAGGGCCGCGATGAAACAAACGGGAGACATTCGCCCCCAGGCTGGGCGAGAGGGACGGAGCAGCCCAAAGGGTTGGCGATGAGGGGCCTTGGGAACAGGCGGCGGTCCGCGTCATGGGCGAGGGAACAATTTGGCGCTTGCGCTGAGCGTCAACGGAGAAATGCGGCATAGGGCAGCGTGGCGGGGTTTGTGGAAACACAGAGGGGAAGAGACCCGCGCATGCTACAAGCGATTGCGGCGAATGCCGAACGCTGGAAAAGGCTGGGTGCGCAGCGACGGGGTGTCGTGGCAAAATTTGCACGAAATTGAGGCCACGAATCAAGCAAGCCAGCGGGATTCATGCCACGAACGTGATGGTCAGCTTGCAGGGTGGAACGCATCAAAGCGCAAGGCCGGCCTCGGGCAGGGGATGCGAGGCACGCCCTTTTGGCGGCAAAAGCGCGCCACGCCGATCGTGCCCACCACGCGTCCGTTCGAAAACACCCATGCCGCAGATTCAGAAGCGAGCGAGAGATCGGCCCAGGGCATCCGCACAGGAAGATGGATCCCCACTCGCACCTTGGGCGTTCGCCAAGTGCCGCGGCGAGTCGAGCGGCGAGAGCGCCTGGCCGGGGGGGGCGCTTGAGACTGCGCGCGGGCGCCTTGGCGGCCCTTCCATGGCTGGGGCGGCAGTGCGTCAGCTTGGGCGGCGCGGCATATTCGCCTATCCCTGCGCGGGGGCATCCGTGGAGGAATCTAGTGCGCTTTTGACCAACCGCGACAGAATCTGGGGCGCGCATGACCGACATCGGCAGAATCTTTGGTGCCGGTGACAGACCTCGGGCAAAACTTGGGATGACGTAAGGGCGGTACGACAGGAGGTGGGGCGTTGGCGACGAGGCCGGGGCTGCGCGTGGAGGCGCTGCCGGCGCGCGGTACGCGTGCGGTACGCGGGCGGTACGCGTGCGGTAGTACTTTGGGGCGGGAGTGTGCGTTTGTGGTAATGCTCACCAAACTCACGTGGAGATTCTTAACTAATCCCATTAATCTCAATTTGTTCGCGGCGCTGATGTGGCAGTGACTGGTCCATGGTTGGCAGATGGTGGTGTGACAATAAAGGGACGTGCCTGTCCGCGACATCTCTGTAACTCTGTTCCCTCATCTGTGTCTCCCAGCCCGTGACCGTGCCCGCCTCCGACACAGTCCCACCCCGAATCCAGCGTATCAGCGCCTCGCAATGAGCGCCATTGGTCGATTGTGTTAAAGGCGGGCGAGGGGTCGAATTGCCTCGATTGCGCAGCTGCCACAAAATGAGACGGCAAGTCTTTTCTTTATCAAGCTGGCGGTGGCGGGCAGTGGATGGGTATTGGCGGTGAACGCACTGTACACTCCGCGCGGGATGCACCACACTGCTCGCACATATGAAAAGGCAAGGAAATGCGCATATTGAGGCCGCTGAGAATGGACCTCGAGAGCATGGATTGGAAAAGATGCAAGGAAAAGGAGGCAGTGTTGTTGAAGTTGATGAAGCTCTCCCGTGTGCTCAGCGTGTTCCTTCTAGTCGGGTACCGAGCCCCGTTCCTCGCGATTTCGCTGAAATGCCATGCAACGTCACAATTGACACGTGCTGTGCTCTGCACACGAATGACCGAACGGGTGGCACTTGCGATTTTCTGCGCACACACTCGCCGCGAATGATGACAAAATGATGAAAAAGTTATTGACGATGACAGAAACTCCCTACGCAGGGCACTCCAGCATTTGCCCAGGGCACTGGCGAGTTTCTGCACAGAAACTCGCTGCAAAAGATCTGAAAAGAGGAAAAATATTTGTGATAACGACAGAAGCTCGCCGCGAATGGTGAAAATGATTAAAAAATAAATGATGATGACAACAGAAACTCACCGCGAATGATGGAAAAATGATGAAACAAATTGACGGCCATGACAGAAACTCGCCGGGGATTTGCCACAGCCGACGGGGCCACTCACCCATTTGCGCGGGGTGGTCGTGCGGGAGCCAGGATGGGCCAAGAGGCGGCCGGCACAGAAGAGGACGACCTCAAGCTCGCCCAGCGGCTGACCTTGGAGTCCGAGACCGACGCACGCGCCAGATGGGATGCCCTGAGCGACAATGCGCTGCTCGACGAGATCGCCGCCTACAAGCGCGCTCTGAAGAGCGTGGCTGCGGTCACGGGCAGGCAGATTCCCCATGCTGGGGGCCTGAAGGGCGGGGAGGGCGTGGGGCCCGGCGGCGATCGCGTCAAGTACTACGAGGTCCCGGTGGACAAAGTGGATCCCGTGGAGTGGGAGGTGCCCGAGCACTGCGTGCCCATTCGCGCGGACGTGACTTCGTACGATTGGGGGCCGCTCTGCGATGCGGTGCAATTTGACGTTATCATGATGGATCCTCCCTGGCTGCTGGCGACCAACAATCCTACAAGGGGAGTGTCGCTGGGGTACGGTCAGCTGACTTCGAAGGATATCCAGAATCTGCCCATTAGGCGGCTGCAGGGGGATGGGCTGCTGTTGATGTGGGTGATCAACTCAAGCTATGGGTTCGCGATGGAGCTGTTCGACCGGTGGGGGTACGAGGTGGTGGACGAGGTCGTGTGGGTGAAGCAGACGGTGAACCGGCGGCTGGCCAAGAGCCACGGGTTCTACCTGCAGCATGCAAAGGAGGTGCGGGCACCTGCTTTTTTTCCCCATGTTTTCTGTTGTTTTAGGATTGCTTTTGTTCAATTCCTTGCAGCAAGACACGTGGGCCAATGCAGGTCCAATGGTACGCGTGTTCTTGCTGTTAGGCGTTCAGCAGAACAATTATATTGTGTGTCTTAGTCCGTTGCCATTGATGATTCTGATTGTTGTCCTCTTTCACTCGATTGCAACACGATGCATGGCCACCAGCCATGGTCCAGTTGGGACTGTGACTGGACACCAGCACCCATGGAGCTGGGGTGCGATGAACAGGCCCACTACGTACAGCACCCAGCATGTCCCAAGCTAACAGCAATCCGAGAGAGTTGCGTCAATCAGCCACTGGCATATAACATCCCAGTTTCCCAGACATGCGCCTCACACTTTACTACCATCTGCTCTTCAGTTCCTTTGTGGCAACCACCATGGCCTGATTGCCATGCCTCAACCATACGTACCCAAGGCAAGTGAACAAGCGATACTCTCCATGTCACACTGCCACCAATCAAGCAGCAGCTCTTGCTGCAGCTGGGGTGCTGGTCGTGCCTGCTGGCCGTTCTGCTTGCATCTCAAGGCCAATTATGAAAAAGCTGTTTTCTGTGAAGAAAATTCTTTGAGAATATTTGCTTTGTTAAGAGGCCTCTTTCAATAGTTGTGTACATTTTCAGTTTTGTGGGAATGCAAAAGGGCTCCAGGCCCCTCACCGAAAGAGATCTCTTGAATGAATGCCTTAAGAGTGTGTTCGTTCGAGAGAGAATTCACTGAATAGAGGCTGACATGTGTCACAGGTCTGCCTTGTGGGGATGCGTGGCAAGGGCCCCAAGAATCTTGTCCCTGGTGCCGGGAGCGACATCATCCTCAGCCAGCGGCGTGGCCAGAGCCAGAAACCTGTCGAGATCTACGAGCTGGTGGAGGCGCTGGTGCCTGGGGGCACCTACCTGGAGATCTTTGCCAGGAAGAACAACTTGAGGGACTACTGGGTGTCGGTCGGCAACGAGTTGTGCGAGCCCAAAGGGGAGAAAGGCAGTGGGGTGCTTGCTGTGCGGGCATGAAGGGGCAAGAATGCGGGTCATTTGTCAATAAATGGGCTTAGAATGGATGAGGGTCAGGATGACTTGGGGGAACTCACCCTGCTTTTGACACAGGTTGGTGTGTCAACAGTCAGGTTGTTTGGGAGGTGTAGTTTGCCATTCTAGCTCAGTGTACTTCGTAGTGCTTTGTAATAGATTGCAGGCTGTGAGGGAGGTAATGCAGGGATCCCTGGGCCATGCCCTGCCAGTTTCTATGGAATGCAAGCGGCAGTGTTCTTCCGCAGTGACATGTGGGCAGAGCCACAATTTGATTGAATTTTGCTCACAAGCTTTGGCGAACAGTACCATTACCTTGCTAGGCGATTGTTCACAGCAGACAGTCTGTCTGCAGGTACAGGGTTATGTGGGGGACGTGGAGATGTGGCATAACCAATACACAGAGATGTCCACAAACACCAGCACTTCTGAAGTGCTAGATAGAATAGATATTGCATAGTGCATGATATTGCCACATTTCTGAGATGTTCCAGGAGCCCATGTGTGTCTCCAGTTTGGGCGAACATCATGTGCCTTTGCAGCACATTAAACTCAGTTTTAGCTGTATTTGCCATGGACCAGACAACATCTCTCAAGGACTTGTCACCCCGGCAATTGCTACAATGTGGCCTTGAGCCACAGGAGCAATAAATTTGTCATATGCAGGGTGTTGCATGGCTATTTGCAGTTCCAGTTTACAGTCTAGGCTAGGTATCTGTGGACTGCTGGCACAAGCCTGAATGGAAGTCAAAACTTGCATTCTGCAGTGCTTCCTGGCAAGCTTTCCCAGTCGGAGGGCAGCCTTCCTGGTGGGGAGCCCCTGCTTAAGGGCTGCCCCCAACTGCCGATTATCTTGTTGACTCTGTGCCACTTGTCGCTGGCCACACGACAGAACGCTCCCTTGGGCGGCCAGGCTGAAGGTGAGCACCCAGCTGTGCTGGGCAGTGTTCGGAAACGGACACTCTTACAAGACATTTCCAGGAGAAACGCAACAATGGCCCTTGAAAACTTTTGCAAAAGTTGCCTGAACCCCTGCTTTAACGCACAGTCGTGCGCTACCAAAAGTGTAGACGCCGGATTTGCAAGTATAGACGCGTGGTTTGCTGAATGAATTCGTGCAGTTTGGGGTGTTGTGATGATGATCAGTCGATTGATGATCAAAGCGCACAGGTCAGCGCCAAAAAGCGCTCGCAGCCGCTTGCAGCGCCAGCGCTTCAACCAGAAGCCGCCAGCCACTAACTGCAGACCGCCAGACAGAGCCCCGCTTGTGCCGGCAAAGTTTCCCGGGCAAGTCTGCGGCCCAAGCTGCACCCCTGTCGCGCGGCATAGCCGAGTCTTCTCCCCGTTGCAACCTTGCAGTGCGGCGGTCAAGTGGAGAACCACTGCGCGCAAGGCACGACAACTTGTGCACAGACTTGCCCACATTCGACTCTGTCGTGGTGACACTGACTGGGTGCACGTCAGCACTGCCCCCCCCCACCTCGTCCATCACCGCCGCGTCCAACAATCAGCAACGCCGGCCCCTACAACGCGGACCTAGCCAGAAGGGTCACGAGCACCCTTCGAGGAGGCCCTGTGGCGCACAACCCGCCGTACACGAGGGCGCCCCCTCCGAGGCCGCAGTATGTCCTCCAGTACTTTCCTCCGGTACTGACCCAAAGTACTGCGCCGTGGGCCTCGCCGTCGCCCTGACCTGGCCACCCCGCGCCCCCATGCCCGCCTGAGGGCCGCCCGTCAATTTCCAGGGGACGCTCCCGGCGGGCGGAGCGGAAAAATCCCAACGTGCGCCCAGTACATTGGAACAGTACTCGCGGCGCCAGGGGCCCAGAACGACCACGTGGCCGCCGATTCGGAGCGGGGGGCTCGCAGCGATTAATGCCGGCTGCCCAGCGGGTGGCCCGGAATTGTTGCTCGCCGCTGTTCTCTGGCACGGGTATGCGCGCAAGCAGCTGCCGGGGCGCCTGAGACTGGCACCAGGTGGGCTGCGCTGTACGCGGCTCAGCCATTTTTGCAGGCGGGGTGGGCGGATCGGGAGATTGTGTTTTTTTTGCGGGGTTTTGGGCGATGAGTGTCTGGCTGCCTCTGGTTTGTCGGGGTCAGGAAGGCGCGTGAGCGGCCGCGCGGGCGCCTGAAAGTGGCGTTAGGTGGGCTGGGCATTGCGCGATCGGCCATTTTGGCAGCCAGGGGTGGGTGCCTCGGGATTGTGTTTGTTTTTCGCCGGGGTTTGGACGCCAGTCGTTGCCCTGGCGCTGCTCTCTGGCGCGGGTGTGCGCGAACAGCCGCGAGGGCGCCTGAAAGTGGCGCAGGTGGGCTGTGCTTTGCACGGCCTGGCTGTTTCCACAGCAAGTGGGTGTCGGTGGAGGGGGTTTGCATCGCATGGTTGTGATCTTTCTCGGGGTTTGAACGCCAACTTGTTGCGCTGTCACTGTTCTCTGGTACGGGCGTGCGTGTGAACGGCCGCGCGAGAGCCTAGAAATGGCACCAGGTGGGCTGCTTTCTCGCCGGTCGGCCGTTTTGGTTGCAAGGGTGGGTAGATCGGGAGGTCGTGCTGGTGTTTCCGGGGTTTGGACGACAATTGTTGCACTGCCGCTGTTTCTGGCGCACGGGCGTGCGCGTGGACAGGCCGCGGAGGCGCCTGAAACGGGCGCGAGGCGGGCTGCGCTTTCCACCGCTCGGCCATTTTGGCAGCGAGGAGGGGTTGGGGTGGGGGGCGTGGTGGGCTCCGACTGGTGCTGCCAACCAGCGCCAATCCCAGTCAGTGCGCAATTGAATTCGCGCTTTGTCGTCGCAACTGTCTCGATTTGCCGACGCAAGGCGCAGGGGCGGGTTGCCCTTGTAGCTGCGAGGGACGCGACCGATGGCCTTTTGAGTTGGATCGAGAAATTATGGGTCGGTCGCGGGGGGCTGTGTCGGGCGGAGCCGCCCCGTGGGGCAAGTTTTGGATGGCAAGGTGAGTTTTTTGGAATCGGGGGGCGGTGGAAGAGGCGCTTGGGGGAGGCTGGGCGGGGCCTGGTGCCCTTTGGCGCGATGCTTGGGTTGCGTTGTTGTGGTGACCGGGGGCACGGTGGCATTGGGATTGACGTGGGCACCGGCGGGTGCGTGGGAGCGGGTGCAGGGGTGTCCTGGCACCGGTGGCGGGGGGCCAGGTGGTCGGAGTGGCACGGGGGCGCCGCGGGCATTTTGGTGCATAGGCGCGAGCCCACCGCGCCGCGGTGCGATCTCGGGGTCCGCTTCCTGCTCCCTCCGCCACCATCGGACCCCGCCCCCCCCCCCCTTGAGAGTTTTTCGAAATCGGAACTCTTAACTTGGGGGGAAGCGTCCGCGCCGCCCTACCTGAGCCTCTGCCGCGATACCCTCGACTCTCTTCGCGATCGATTGGCGCGCCCTTGCCTGGTCAAACCCCCTTCAATCCATCCTGACCACCTGCTCTTGTGCCCCCCGCTGCATTGCCCGCAGGCCGGCCGCTACAAACCCCACCCGCCGACCCTCCCCATCGCCATGTTCGCTCCGATGGAGCCCTTCGCCGCCGGAGGCGCCGCGCCCGCCGGGATCATCTCCCCGGCGCCCCACGGTGGGCGCGTGGGCGGCCAGAGCGCACTGACGTCGGCGGTGCGTGGCCAGCCGATCGGATCGCCGCTGGAGGGCGGGGCTGCGCTGATGGCGCACAGGGTGTCCGGAGGCAGGCACAGGCGCAGGAGCGCCGGCGCGCTGTCCAAGGTGAGGCGGCTGGCGAACGATTCGATCGCGGCGGGCATGGGCAAGATTTGGGGATTGGAACCCTGGTGGGGAGCCTTGCGTGTTCTTAGGGAATAGGGGCGTCGGTGTCGGCGATGCGAGAGGATCGGTTGCGGGGGGTGGGGGTGGGGGTGGAAGGTTGGACGGGGCGCTTGGGGCTGTGCCTTGAGGACGTACGGAAGTTCATTTCTTCTTTTTTGACGGGGGCTGGGAAGTTCGCCTTGCGCTGCCCCACAGCTCGCTCCGCTCGCTGCGATTTTTTTGCAGGGGTCTGCGTGCCAGCATGGCTTGATAAGCCGCCCGCTCCGCTCACCACATTCTCAATCTGACCCCAATCGCTGTCCCAGCCTGGCGTCACCGCCAGACGTCGCCATTTGGATCGTCGGGCCAGCGCGGGGCTTGGCATGCCGTCGAACGGAAACGCCGCAAACTGACCCACAGGACTTATTATTGTCTTGTTGTTGTCCACGCGCGTCCCTGCGGCCAAATTTGGTGAGCCATTCTGCTCACCACGATTTGCGAAGGGGCGGGGGGCGCAGGGCCGCCGCCGATTGTCCGATCTGGAAACGGCCAAGTGAGGCTGGAGCCGGTTGACGGCTTTTGTGTCGAGGTTCGGAATCTTGTTCAGGAGGCCTTGTGGCCAGGAAACGAAGGAGCAAGGCCAGGGTCGCCTCTTATTTCTGTGTCCAGCGTTGGAGTCGTGGTGAGGAGGCTTTGCGGCCAGCAGACGGCGAGGCACGGCCAGAATCGGTGCTTCTTTTGTGTCCGGCGCTGGAATCCTGGTCGGGGGGGATTGCCGGCTGAATGGGCCATCGATATCGCCGGTCAGCGCCTCTATGTTGTGTTTTGGTGTGGGTGGTACCAGCATTTGAACTTGCAGCCTGGAAAGGTTTGGAGGTTTGGGGGGGGGGGTGGGGCGCATGGAGACCGATCGCCCCCCGCCTTCTGCTCCAGCAGCTGCTGGGCAAAACATAAAGGCAGATGGGCACCAGGTGTCTTCTTGCTCAATGCGTTGGTAAAGGCTGCATGTGTGGCGGATGGCTCGTTTGGGGGGCCACGGGGGAGCTCTGGGACGAGATCGGCGGTGACTGTGGAGCGCATGCACTGCAACTTACCTTTGAAGATTGTTGAAGCTTGGTTGTGAGGATTGCTGCGGCAGGGTGCAAGATACTTGCACTTCTTGATGCAGTTAGGATTCTTGATCTCAGCGGGAGCCATGTACCAGTGGTGTGTCGTGCTGGCTCAGAGCTTGCTTGTGTGTGCTTCAGCAACTGTATCGCATCTGGAATTTTCAGACTAATGGTCCTGCTGACCCTGAAGGCATAAGCAAATCTACCATAGAGAATTCTCAACTGAAGTCTGCCTCTGTCCCTTTAGGAGCTCGGCCAGGCCCAGGCAATGGGAGGCATCGTTGTCCCTAAGAAGGGCAAGAACTACCGGGGCGTTCGCCAGCGGCCATGGGGCAAGTGGGCTGCGGAAATTCGGGACCCCAGCGTGGGAGCAAGAAGGTGTGGGCGCTTAGGCTTGCTTTTGTGTGGGGCTGATGCACACAACACAAGGCTAGTCTCGACTTGTGCATGTGTTACAACTTGTAAAGGTCACGCTTTGCAACTTGTTCATGTCCTCAGTCTGTGCACAGCAGCGATTTATATTGTAGTGGCCTGAAGCAGTTACAGTCTGCACCCTTAGGCCTAAACAGGGAACTGCTCCTGGTAGGTGGGGTCAGGGATGTGCTGCATTGGCGTGTCGCACAACCTTGGGCATTGTGCGAATCTGTTGTTGACCAAGCTAACCATAGTACAGTTGTCAAGATGTGCCCTATCCACGGCTCACCAGGTGTATCAAGTTGCAAACACTGCTGTTTGTGAGTGCAGCGACATATGTGAGAGTTGTGTTGAGAGTCCATTGCTGTGGAGCTTTGTCCTGTCTTTTTGATGCGAAGTGCCGCATTGGCAGAAGATGTCAAATGCATATTGACGTTGGAGCTTTGTGGAGGTTCTTTGGACCACGATTCCAGAATGATTGAACAGTAGAACTTGACTGGCAACCTATTTGCTGACCCATGCCTCACCTAGTATTGCCGCCACAGGTGGCTGGGCACCTTTGACACGGCCGTGGAGGCCGCCCGTGCCTACGACGCAGCTGCAAGGGCCATACGGGGCTCTAATGCACGGTGCAACTTCCCGCTGCCCGACAATGCGGATCGGCAGTCGCCGATCCCGGGTTTGGGCATGCATACACTGCCTTTCTTGGGCATGCCACCCCAGGACGGGGCGGCGGCTGGGGGTGGCTGCCAAATACATGGGGTGGGGCAGCTGCCACAGCTGCGAAAGGGGGACATCGGCAGCCCTGGCTTGGGCATTAGTGGCATGGGTGAGTGTGAGAATCCTGCTGCACATTTGTAGATGAGCGACAAGTAACAGCCCAATACTGATCGTGTGAACTCCAAAGTCTGAATGGAATGGGCGAGCAGCGCATCAGTCAAAGTCGATGGCAGCAGGACCAAAACACGCGAGATATGCCAGTGCTGGCACACTATGGACATTCTGTGTTCCCTTCAGTTATTTGGTTCATTTCCAAACATGCTTCTGCTACCACAGCACACTGGAATCGCTTGAGCCAAGCAGACACTGCACTGCCTTGCCACAAAGCAGAGCACCTGTCCTATGTGTTAACAATCGAAGTACAGGGCCAAGACGCCGTACTTTAGGGATGCAGGTGTCAGAAGAAAGTAGGAGGCGTTGTTGAGTCCCAAAGAATGATTGGTGATTGAAAAGATTGAAAGGATTGAAAAGGAAGCCACAATGTCGAAGATTGAATGGTGCTGACTGTGTAGCTAGTGTGGCTGCAGTTCATATTTTTGCAATTTTGATTGGGTGCATTGAGATTTGTTCTCAGGTTAGTTTTGTTTTTGTTGCTGGATTGAAGGTTCCCTTGAAGAGGTCAGGTGGAGCAGAGGCGATCGCCAAGACTGCAGCGGGGCAGACCGAAGGGCTGCTGCAAGGTTTGACAAAGAGAACAGCCTTAGCGACAGTGAAAGTGACAGTGACATTGAATTTTCGGACGACTACGGTGAGTTTTTGCTGCATGAATAGCGCGTCTGCAGTGTGCACTGTTCAATGCAGTGCATTTTTGTGCATAAGATGTAGCACAGCGTTTGCAGTACAGGCAGTAAACATGGAGCGAATGGCACCGCCATCTTGCACCAATGGGGCAGACGGTCTACTGTGCATACAAATGATGTGTGTGAGTGGCGTGTGTGAGTGGCTGTTGCTTGCACTCCAACCCATTGGTGCCTATTGGGTGTTCTTTTGTGCCTCTGGGTGAATTCCTCTGTCCGAAATCTCCTTTGCAAGACAAATAGTGCCCTTGCACCTTGCAGGTGTTTCACGCCTGGCTTCATGTATGCAGAACGGAAGTCTGGTTGCTATGCTTCCAAACAATTAGAAATTGAGCAGGGAAAGGAAGGAAAGAGAATGCTGTTGGTGATCGCAGAGGACTGCCTGCTGTATCCCATCTGCGACGCAGCACAATGCAATTGTTTGCTGACGATTTGTTGTCTGTGCCAGGATCTGATGATGAATCGCTTATACCAGCTGAGAAGTTGCTGTTGAACTCTTCGGAGCTGCCAACAGGAGCAATGCCCATGAGTGGTGCACAGTCGATTCCCATCGGGCCTGATGCGGTGAGAATCGCCTCTGCTTCTGATATTTTCAAGGTGTAAGGATGGCTTCAGCGTGTCCAGCTCAGGTCATAGATTGCCTATTGTGCCAAAGTCACTGCAAAATTTGCGAAATAACGGTACAGAGTCGTGTAATTGTGCTGATTCCCTATTGTGCATCATGCTTCTGTTGTCTGTGGACTTGTGAGAACGTGCAATCCTTGAGCAATTGTCTCTCTTTAGCTGCACACTAGCTCTATTCCAGTCGCTGCCCATTTAGAAACAAAACTGTCTGCTCGTTTGCGTTGCCACTAATATCACAAAGGTGTTGCAGTAGCTATTTAAATGTCATTCTGCCATCCCTGCAGTTGAGCAATATTCTATCATATCACGTTGCTGACTCGCCCAAGCTGTGCAATGCAACTAGTGCTGGATCCAGTGCTACGGTCTGTCATCGGCTTCCTGGCTGATGTCCAGATGGTTTGCCTGTCCGCAGCTGAGCAGCTCAGTCGCCATGAGGACCGGCGTCACCCCTCCAGAGGGCTGGAAGGTGCCCCTGAGCCCCCAGCAGATCGCCGCCTCCCCAAGGTCCCACAGCATCCACTTTGGCTCGATGGGCCGGTCAGTTGACATGGTGGACATGGTGAAGCGCATCATGGAGGGGGGCAACATGTCCGTTGGCAGCTTCAACATCGACGACACAGCCTCGAACGCGTTCCTGCGCCGTGTGGGCTCCTGCGACACGGACTTCTCCGCCAAGGACGAGCCGCAGAAGGGGCGGCCCAGCGGCGACATGGATGACACGTTCATGTACGAGCCATCAGCATCTATTTGGCACTGGCCGCGTTGGTCTGGGCTTTGCGCCCACGCCACTGTTTGCAGGGGCCATGGTCGGCGGCGGGGGGAACAGTATGATGGCAGCACAGGCGCCAGGAATGTTGGCACCAGCATGGGTATGGCGGCTCCCTGCTGGATAGCATGGCGGCAACCAGTGGGGATACCTGGGTTTACAGGGGGTTTAACCTTTCCGCGGAATGGGCCATGGATAGATTGCCACGCTGGCCAGGCATTAATTGCTCCTAGGAGCACCAGATCAATAACAGAGTCAGTCAGGTCACATCTTCATTGTTGTCACTCCAGAGATGCCCGACATTGGCATCAGTATTTGCGGTCGTCAATGAAGCTGTACAGCACGTTGAGAGGTAAGTTGATGGTGAGGGTGTATTTGTTTGGGGCAGAATGACGGGTCTTGAGTAAGATGTCGCACCATTTGTTTTTGGTGGAGCGGGGACGGGGGTGGGGAGGAGGGGGCCTCTGGCAAGTTAGGAGCGGGGAACCTGTTATAAGGCTGGGCTGTTTTTTTATGCCCGGATCTTTCTGACAGGATTTAAGCCTTGCTTGCGATGGAACGGATTGTCTGCCGCAAGGCCCTAGGCAGGCTGGAGGGGGCTCTTTCCAGAGAGTTCTTTTTCAGTTGTGTATTTTAGTCCTTCGTGTGTAAGTGGGCAGCGTCCGCTTGCCGGCCTAGTTTCAGAAAATGCGATGACCGATCTGCCAATTCACAGGGATGGGCGTTGCGGTGAGCCTTGATGCTTCGGTTGGCGAAGGGCCGCTTCTGGCTGGAGGACTGGATCGACGTTGTTTTGGAGCTCTTTTAGTTTTCTTTTCTCTATTCTATTGTTTTTTTTTCCTTTTCACTTGGCGTGCCACGGGGCATTGGTCGGCATGTTCACATGAACTGCTCGTGGCGAATTCAACGTGCCGATCGCGATTTTGGGGACGGGGGATGGAGCGACGGCGGCAAGGGCGCTGGCCCATCTGCTCAAAGGCATGGGTGCACATGTCCACACGAAACACTGTGGGAACTGCAACGGGAATTGTGCTTTTAGCAACCTGAACGTGTTAGGAGTAGGAGAGGGTGTCCATTGGTTCTTTTCCTTGGGCCGAATTTTGAATGAATGACTGAAGGGCCTTCTGGGGGCAGAAGGTGCGACGAGGAGGGGGCCAGTGGGCGGGTTTGTGGCAGGTCAAGAAGTTGAGGCGATGACTTTGTTTTGAGGGGGAGTTTTGTGGCGTAACTTTGAGGTCGACCGCGGAGAGGGACACGTGGCCGGCTCGAATGCTGTTTGGCTTGAGTTTGCTGTGCAGAACGGGAAATTTCAAGTGGCATTGAAATTGGAGGGCAGGCGGCGGTGCGCCGGCATGGGCAGCAGGAAGGCTGATGAGGTGCCACGCGCCAGCCGAACTCAAAACTGAGCTGTCGGCAAAGCCATTTGCTGGAAATGTGGCTCGCACATTGCCAGGGCGGGGGAAGGAGATGGCTGACTTGTTCCGTGGCTGGAACGCCAGGCAAGGGAGGGTGTTGGGATGGGGCGACCGATTTTTTAGCTACTTCATTGTGTTGCATTCTGTCAACAGAACTGTTTTGCTTGACGTGTGACTTTGGGGTGGGCACGGCCGGGAGGCAAGGGGGAAGGGGGGTTACCTGGGGCGGGGGCATGGAATCCGATAGTGGTTCAAATGTGCGGTGCACAGTGCATATCGAGCGCAATCTCGGCATGGATGTGCATGACGCACGAGTGATATTACGGCGAACTGGGCTTGTGGGTACCTCGACGAACAGAACGATGGGCAGCTCTCCACGCGGACACCTGGGAATTCTTTCACTGGACACATCAGACTGTTTCTTGGCCAGGGGGGAGGCCGCTCGCGCAGCGAACTCGAGGCTTTCCCTGGTGCGCTGTGAGAAAACGTGGCAGTTCGCGTATTGGAGCACCGCTGCATTGCGCGTCCCACTGCACCTTGTGCTGTGCCACGCCATCGTGCCAGATCAAGGCCGGCGGCGGCTGCGGTGATGTGGAGGCGGCTGCTGTGGACGAAGCCACCTATGTGCGGGCTGTCGGCTGCATCTGCTTGTCCATTTCGTAGCAAGGCCCTGACTCCTGTTTTCCACGTCCAACGTATGCCAGGCTGCACAAACCATTTCCCCTTGGGGTCCGTCTATCTCCGTATTCTCAGCAATTGAAGAAAGCGCGCAGTCGTTGGTGCTGTGCAGTGAAGGTTGTGCCGGCAGTGCTTCATCTTGCTGGAGACGTGGAAGTGCTCTCCCCGACGGCAGCCAATTCAAATCAGGGCGTTGTGTTGGCCTTGTGCCAGCCACAGGTCTTGGCGCCGCCAAGCGCCCTCCTAGCCCACCGATGGAGCAAGAAAGCCTCCGCCCTGCTCCTGACCGTCGTGCACCAGCCCTGAAAACATGCAACAGGCGGCAACTCCCTGGATGGTTGGTATCCCAGCAGTCCTCTGAAGCCAACTGTTGAAACAACCGCAACATGATGATGTCGCCCTGGGGGCGCACGCCAACCCTCACACAGTCAACCATTTTACTGATGTCAACCTTATGATGGTTGATGTCAATCATCTGATTGTTGCCTATCACATCACTGATGTCAGTCATGTACTTGATGGATACATATCTAGTTGATGCCGAACATGTCAACTGATGCCAATCATATGATTGATGGATGCATCTACAGTGTAGTCGATAACAGCACTATTGAATCAGCCCTGCCATCGGGCCAAGCCACACGCCCGAGACAGACATGATATGGCGGAGGCACGTGAAGACGATTCTGCATCCGATTGCGCTGCACCATCGCAGGGCCAATGCCCATACGGCGAAAAGCCCAAATCAGAACCGATTGCCGGCACCCCAGCGCCGCCAAGCGCGACACGGGAGCATTTCAAACAAAGAGAACATGCGCCAGGCGTGTCGTTGCAAACGACAAGGGCCCGTCCAGCCGCCGCCTCACTCCTCGCGGTGCTTTGCCAACATCCACATTGGGAGCCAAGCGTGCAAAAATCGCCGCAATGTCTGCCCCCCACCAAAGGCGTCAACAAGGCACTCAACTGTTAGCTGCGTTGGGCTGTCACAGCAGGTTTGCTCTTGCTCCGGCACGTAAACGAGATGGGGAGAGGGATGGTTCTTGAGTGTTCACAGCTCAACACTTGGCCAGATCAGCAACTGCAAAAGTACGGCGAGCGCAGGGCGGGATACAAGGCATTGACAATGCGAGTCACAGGTCGGCAAGCTTAAGCGTGAAATTAGACTGTTAAATTATGGACCAGCACGAGCCAAACAAAGAATCCAGAATGTGTCAAAACATGTTCTCGGTCATGTGTAGCCGAGAAAACGGTCACACATGTTCTGATGCAGACCGGCACCGGCAAATAAATTTCCAAGATTTCTTGTGCTTGAGTCTATCCACGCAAAATTCTTGGCAACTGCTGCTGCCCTCCAGTGCGCCACCCGGAATTGGCTCCATCAGATCTGCCTTTGAACTAGCGATCATGTGGGCCCATTCAACGCATATGTCTTCGATCAAGCGACGACGCCTGGAAGGCTGCGAGCACAATTCCCCCCTCATGAAATCTATCGGCATCCATTCCCCCCCCAAGAATAATAAAATTCTATGAAATGCCCTGGAGAAAAGAGACCGTCGCGAGCTCCAAAATCTCAAGGCTTCACTGGCCCCACATCCAGATTATGTTTTCTGTATCCATTCCTTCCCATTTGAATGAACCCATAGGCACTATTTCTTGAGTGAACTAAAGAAACTTCCACCCCCCACCCGGTTTATGCCGATGCAACGCGATGAGCCCTGTGCGGGCGGACAAAAACCAGCGCACAGACCAGTCTGCATCCGAATATCTAATGCGTTGCCCCTAATTAGAGTACAGAGACAGCTAACGTGGAAAAGTGCCCATGGCTTAGGCATAATTTCTTCACAGCCCAGAGCAAAGCCGCCAACGAATCACCTGCGTTTGGATTCTGCAATTTGCGTCTGATGATGCTGTGTCCGCGCCAAGCAATCTCCACCATCAGCCCTTGCCTCATGTCCAACGAACCATTGCGAGCAATCGAACCCAACAGAAAGTCCTACAACCCCCATTTGCAGCCAGGAATATGCCTCATCCCATAGTCATCAAGAAACTAGTGAGCAGTTTTGCCCCCTTCACTTGCCAGCAGGTTCCTTCCAGCATCCTTTTATATGCTGCTGCTTCTTCTTCTTCTTCTTCACGTGATTTGCGATCAGACAATCAGGCCTTTGAGGATTCCTGTGCCCCGTCTCCATCTTTGCTGGTGGGCCCATCGTTGACAGTAGACTCATGTTCCACTTCCACAGTCCGGAACACTCTGGAGTCCAGGCGCACATCCCTGTAGACCTTGGGGCGCCACCTGTCCAATGCAAATGAAACAAGATGATGACCACGCACAGCTATAGTCTGGCAGAGTGCACAACAGCATGCCAGCATAATACATTCTGGAGTCAAGCAGCTTGGATGGGCAGGTTGCAGTACAGGTTTCCTTTACTCACGCCTGTGATACCACACACTGATAGCCTATCAATACTGGCACAGGAACTGCACTGGCAGCAGATCTGCCCTGATATGTCCTTGTACACTTCTTTCTGCACCACTGCACTGACAAGCAATTCACACAGCAAGGATGTCATCCAGTTGTCAAAGTTGGTGCTGTTGTTGGTGTCACGGCGACAATATGCTCACTGCCTTCTCTTGTGAATTGCTGTTCAGTGCACAGGGAAATCCGGCACTGACTTTTCCAGCGAACCATGACAAGCCACTAACATTCGGGATGCCAGGCACCATTCGAGGTGCAACAATGGCTAAATAATCCCTCGATCCAGCAACCAACAAAGACAAGACAGAGACTGGCAACAATTGGATCTAGAATGGAAATCTGGTTGGAATCCACACTTGCGACTCTTGCAACAGAACACCCTGCTTGCAGCAACCAGAGGATGGCAGGGAGCAGCTCAATCCAGTGCTGCTCCGCAGGATTGCACAACCCTCAGCTGTGTGCCTCCATGTCACAGTGCCTCGCATCCTCAGCGACACCTTCTGGGACAGGTCTGTACAATTGCTTACGGCTAATTATCACTGACCACCCAGCAACAGTCATTTTCTACTTACTAACAACAAAATACCTCTTTATTCTTGATAACAGAAGTTACCACAAGTTACACTATCCTGCTCTAGTTCTGTCCTCTTGCCAACGAGCAACAGTGCCTGGTAGCTTGAAATCACCGCAAGGAGAATAGCTGACCTTGAAATCATGCTTTGGTGGCGCCTCCAGGGAGGCAGCGTGGTGCCCATGCAGCGAAACGAGGATGCCATCTCTTGGCATAAAAGCTCCACCAGGTCGCTCAACTTGTGCGCTGGCCCGACGTACTCCTCTGGGATCGCATCCACAATCTGCAGGGCAAATCAAGTGCAGTTGGAAAACATCCCACATGAGACCAAAACATTTAGAAAACAAGCTGAATGTCATCATGGGAAGCAGCGGTACAGCCTCCTAATGGGTAGGATCTTGGAGGTGTGGAATGTCAACCTCTGTGATCCTAAAATATGGCAAGGGTAGAGTGCTCAAACACGATTTTGACAACACCGGGCACTGCCAATCTGCAGATTGCAAACAACAAGCTTGGCTGGCATTGCCTTAGGTACACAGCAAAACCCTTTTTGGTAAATGTTTGGAAGTCAGAGCGTTGACTTCCATTCAGATACGCAGCATTGTATGCCACAGACCCTTACCCCTTGTGAATAGCAACAGCTAGGAGCACCCATGTTGACCCAAAGAGCACCCTGCACTCTGACGTGTATTGGTTGTTGCAGTCAAAATCTTTGTTAGGTGCCTTTTCTTTCTTCCTCAAAACTTGGTTACGATTCTTTCATCCTTTTCTTCAATTGAGAAGTCCCCTCAGCTGACCTGCGAGTAGCGCAGTGTGGGGTTCAGTACCCTGAACTGATCCCGGAGGTTCAGCTCAACGACAACCTCAGCATCCTCCTCCCCTTCATCAGATCCCTCCAAGCACACCACCAGGAATTCATGGTGAAGTTCTTGGAAGAGGGTGTTATCCCTGCCGCCAACAGCAATCCTCAGGCAGACCTGCACGTGAACGCGCCATCACAATGTGAGATGAAAGCGAAAACCATGGGCCAGAAGAAAAGAGCACAACAGAGGGGAAGTTGCCAGCACTTGCACAGTGCGCCAGCAACAACATTCACTGTGCCATCACCCCTGTCACACATCAGCGCACATGGTAAACAGGACTTATGGATCTGAACATGCGGCTCTGTGGCAGGTGTGCTCACACACTCACAGCAAAGATGCCCCTATCGAGCCCAGTGCAAAATCCTGGCAACTCAGGACGAGCTGTCTCTAAATTGGGGTGCACTTGAGCACACACTCTCTTGAACTGTCACTCACCAGTGGCATAAGAACCAAAAATCTGGCTGAAGTGAGAACTGTAGATCACGGAGGATAACATGAGGGATGTTGAATAGCGCGGGGGCCTTTAGATAACACCCCCATCGTTATCAAACATGGCCAGTGTTGCAGAGCATGGAGGGTATTGGGGGGGAAGAGAGGGGGAGGACGCTATTCACTTCAACATCATGTACAACCACAATACAAAAGCATTCTCGCACATTCTCACATCTCTTTGCAAGTGCTAACACCCCAATGTTATCAAGTCCACTCCAACTCAACAGCGCCGTGACAATCCTCCTTCAATCAAACACCATGTCCTCAAGATTTTCGTTGTGCAAATCCAAACCGCCATCGCTCAAACCAAGGTCATTGCGTTCTCCAGGATCGGGATCCCTCACTATAACTCTTCACATGGCCGTGGCTGCAACAGTTGAACATTGTCGTATCACTGACATGGGGGGCCGCCCAACACAGTTATTCATTGCTTTTGAATAGCTCTGTGGTTGGCGCATTATTTACTGTTATGTAACATGCTAAGTTGGCCAGGCTCCAGTTTGCTTTGCCAATCAATCTGGCATGATGTACTGCAGCAAGCTGTGGCGTCCTGTCAACTTTTTGGTGCCAGTCTCGGTTTCTGCCGTGAATGGCTCCTTATGTAGTGCACTAAAATGGCAGGACGCCGGCGCCGGTACCCTTTGCTGCCGATGCGCGTGTCAGCGTGATAACACGGGGAAGGGGGGGAGCTATTAAGTCAGCAACCTGATGTGGAATAAGGGGGGCACAGAGGATAGCACAGGGGCATGCAAGATAGCAACCCCCGCATTCCTGACGTCAGTCCTGATATGGAACACGGCGGAGGGGGAGGGGGGCTCTATCCTCCGTGATCTACAGTAATCCATTCAATGCACCAAACATTAAAGATCCAAATACTCCATGTATCCAAACATCAAATATCTAAGCACTCAATTCAAACCATGCCAAAATCACACTTGCTCTCAATTCACTCCACTTCCAAGCTCTACCAAACTATTCACCTCAATTCAATCGGCAAAGACTATCTGTCAATCGAACCAGCAGGGCTGCCCTGCAAGGCACACAGCCCACCTTGTATCCCATGGCTGCAAGAGCGTCCCCCACAGCCCTTGGGCTCCAGTTGGACGCGCCAAAGGCCAGGTTGCTCTTCACCTCCTGGACGTCTTTCAGGACCTGCAGATACAGGCAAAAGCAGTAGATGAGCACATCGCAGAGGGCAGCAAAAACAGGGCAAAGACTTGGTCAACAGAAAGAAGTCTACAAAGACTGTTGGATGGATGTAAAGCATCTGCATATGTGCCCACAGCTTGGAAATATCCGAGGGCATTCGCCAGATTATCGCAGAGCACAGCCCATTCACCAACTGGAGCTGTCAGGTGAATCAGTGCATGAAAGGTGGATGATGTGAATCCATTGATCCGAGTTTGAATAAGCTGACAGACAATAGTCCTTGCAACCACCAAGCGATGCCGGGCATATGACTGCCAGAACGTTTAGAACGCAATCTGCACAAAAAATGGCAGAACCTGATGTGCAAAACTACTCTTCACTGAAACTGAGCCTTTCTTCAGACAAAGACACCTCTGTGGGCCTCACTTCACCATGCGATTTCTGGTCAGGTGGCCCAAGCCCCAAACCCGCTCTGTCAGGACCGGGGTGCCACCAGGACTGTTTCATGTAATTTTGTATTTTGGAATCAACAAGAACGAAAATCACTGGGCAGTGTGCCTCTCTTCCAACAATCATTAATAAAGGGGCTTCATTGTACTAGACAAGCACTCTCCCTGCGCCAGAATGCGATGCCCTATGTTGGAATAAAAGAGCCATGTCCCTGGCAGCAAAAATGTGATGTCAATTGCCGGAACGCAAAGGCCTTCCTGGCACCATAACGTGATGTCATTCATAGAATTTAAAGACACAGAGCCCCCCAGCACCAGAATTCCGCCTCAATTTGTGCGCACCTGAATGCAGAAGTCGTTGGCGGCACTATCCCACTGCCTCAGGACTTGAAGGAATGCGGTTGGCGCCGCCTCGCCCTGTGGCCCCTTGGGCTGGCCTCCTTTCATCCTGTCCCACGCATCGATCTGCGGCAGCGCAGGACACAGACCACGATCAAACCAGTGTCGGCGGGTCAACGCCGTGGTCAAAAGGGTCCGCACACCTGCCACAAATCTCAACAATAGATAGAGCAGGCCCATTCAGGCGTGTCCACCAATAGGTAATCCATCCACGCTGATAGGCCCCCACCCACCCACTCTCCCCAAGGCCTAGGAACTGAAAAAGGAACATCAATAAACCACAACCGCGCTGATATACTATTCCCCCACCCCCCACCCACCCCCTGACAAACACCCCCTTCCTCCAAGCCCTAGAAACTCTAACAACAACATCAATCAACCACAACCGCAGGCAGCCGCCATCGAAAGCACCGACCTGCTCCTCGTCCTTTCAAGGAACCTCCCCATCACGACATTCGCTTCGTCGCCCGAACAATCAACCACCCCCAGCGACGGCCGACGGCAGGCGCGCGTCCCGATTCATCCAAGCCGCGGGCCCCAAGAAATCTTTGGCGCCTCTCGGCGCCAAGGCCGCCGACTCCTCCGACGCACCCCAAACGACTACGACAGCGCCGCGAACATCCCAACTCCCTTGACCTCCCCCATTTCCGGTCTCTTCTTACCCTCCCACCCACCCCTCCCCCTTCACCCACCCCACTTTCTGCACTGGAGACTCCGCACCACATTCTCACAATATGGCTCACACAAACCCGCTCAAGAGGGCGTGCCATTCCCACGACCTGCTTCTCATTCTCTTTCTGACAAATCTCCCCCGCCCACCATTGTATGACCAGCGTTTCGGGGATTCTAGCGCATCTTCACACAAACACCATGCCCTTTGCACGGCCTTTATCTTTCTCTCTTTGTAACAAACCTCACCCTATGCCCACACGCCAAAAATCCAACCCCCCATACCCACCAACCTCCCACCCCACCCCCCCTATACACCCATCTGTCCGTAGGGGCCTACCTCCACGTGAAAGATCAGCTCCGTTGACAGCGCCCTCTCCGTCGCCCCGTCCACCGCCGGCTGCCCGATCCGCGGCAGCCGCCCCACTTTGCCCTTTCCGGCCGGCCCCGCCCGCCCCGCCCTGGGCACCACCAGCATGATCCCCTTGGCCGCGCCCTCGCGCCACCGCCCCACTTTTCTGGGCCGCCTTGCCCGTTGTGGCTACGCTGCGCGGGCATGTCAGTTGGTTGGAAAGGGGGGTGTGCTTTTGTGCGTGTGGGGGAGTGAGAAGGTGATGGAAGGGGTGCGTGTCCGGGCGGGATGGAATATTCGCGACCGGGGCACAACTACGGGGAAACGAAGGACCAATGGGGGGGCATCTGGCCGCGCATGGTGGGTGTGAAGGTCAGCTGTAGTAAGGGTCTTGATTGGCGTGAGCCATGAGTCCTGCGAGCATCTTAGGACCTACCCTATGGCCCCGGTCACGCCCCAGTTATGTGAACAGTGGCAGCATTGTGTTCACCGCGGAGCACCCGCCGCGGATAGACAAAAATAAATAAATAAATAAATATATAAATATATATGAATAAATATAAATAAATATATATATATATATATATCATTTGAAATAAATAAATAAATATAAATATATAAATATAAATATATATATATATATATATATATATATATATCTGTCACTTAGGCTGGGCCTGGGATTCGGGACGAGGGCAGGGGATTCAGCAACATGGCCAGGGGAGAGCGCCGCAGCGCGGCCAGCCCTCCTATGTGGGCGCGGCCCGTGGCGCTGTCCCCCCAGCCCACCGCCCCTTTCCACGCCATTTTGGCACGGATTGGACAATTCCTCCGTGGCGTTGCCAATGCACCGGAGGCGGGGGGCAAAAGGTCCGTCACGCCTGATGTCATGCTGGAGGAGCTGGCCCAGCAGGCCGCTGAGCTAGCCACGAAAGTCGAAGCGGCTGATGCTGGCCTCCTTGCCGCTTTTGCACTCGCGCACCAATGCCCGTGGATCGCAGACCATCGGAGGGGGATCAGCACCCCATGCGCAGGGGCATGCATTGCCACATGGCAGTGCGAGGGGAATTCAGCCGGCAGCCGCTGGGGCACGCAGCATGCCTGTGTCCGCCCCGTGGATTGTAGACAGAACTTTGGTGTTGAAGGCCCTGAACCCACAGATGAGGAATCGACCCGCAGGAGACTGAGAAATGGCCGCCAAGGTCCAGGCCGCCATCCAAAAGCGCTGCCACGATCCACGCGCTCGCGAGGCGCGCCAGGTCATGCATGAACGGCGCACAGCCAAAGGCGACCTCCATGTGGAGCGGCTCTCCTTCGCAATGCGCCACACGCATTCTGCTTCCACCCTCGACCTCGACGGCCTGGGCACTTGGGTGATTTGGGATTGGGATGCCAACGCCGCTCGCCTTACGCGCCGCCTTACGAGGCTCAAGAGAAGCATTCAGGACGGGCCCCAGGCGGGGGTCTGGAACTATTCGACCTCCAATTGACATGCAGGCTGAGATGGCTCGGACCATCCTCGAGGTCGGCACTGCCATCTTCAACATCGGCACCCGGACACTCAGACTGTAAAACTCCCGCCAATACTCAGACCGTACAACGCCACACCAACACGCTGCGTGCGTTGCTGAAAAGAGGGACACAGAGTTCAGTTTTGCCGCAATCTGCCCACATGTATGACTTGTGGGGCCGTGGGAGACCATGAGACACGGGGTTGTCATGTCAAACCACAGGGCTTGGGTGCCCATTCACCCATGCTGGGCATGCCACTAGCCGCCAGGCTCACACCGGAATCAAGAACACCCTGATGGGAGGCGCCGGTAGCGCCAGCCATTCGCAATGGCATACCAAGGAGCCCCAATCGCAGGGCAGATTTCTTTGCGGATTTCTGACGGACACATTTGGTTGTCGTTACCAGACGTTCCTCAACCACTTTGCAGGCTCGCCCGCTTGCCATTTTGTGTGGTACCCAAGGGAGATAGGGAACATTTTTTCAATGTTTGTCCTAAATAGCCCCCAAAGTCAGGTGGCGTTTTCTTAAGTCAACTAGGCACAAAGTAGACGCGAATTTGAAGTGGCAAGTCTCTGATCTGGTGCTTGCAGATCGCAGAGAATTCGTGGGATTCTTGCGTCATGTACAGAGATCATGACACTATGGAGAATGCAGAATAGAATGCACAATTATTTTCCACTTACATGTATCTGTCCTGCACAGGCTTGGTTCTTACGCCGTAAAAACTGATCGTATTTACGTTTTTACGTGTAAAAACAGTTTTTACGTTTTTACACGCAAAAATGCGTAAAAATACGCAAAAACAACGTAAAAACTGCTCGGTGTACATAAGAACAGTACATGCAGACTTGCGGAGTCCGGAGGGTGGCAGCCAGACGCCCTGGAAGTGGCAGAAAATGAGTTTTTGTTAAGCCCCATCATCGCCCTTGCCAAGGGCAACGTAGACATTGTGCTGCGGGTGCTGGAGATGGCGGAGCACTGATTATTGCAAGCAACTTTCGTCGTGTAACCTAGGTGTCGCAGGGACCCGCAAAAACGTAAAAATAGCCGCAAAAATAGGCCCTTTTGCAAATTTACGTTTTTATGCGTAAAAACATACTTCTGTAAAAGTAAAAACGAAGACAAAAACGTAAAAATCAGGCCTGGTCCTGCACCTTTCTTGGGTTTCAACCCATGGATTCTTGTCAACACTGCATGCACTGGGTTCCAATTGCTGCTCGCACATTGGGGAGCTACGGCTTGTCCAAAGATTCCCTATGCGGACTGGTTACATTAGAGCATCTTATCGGTGGGCGCTATTGTCCCGGCGGAGCTATTCGGCTATCCGAATAGCACTGCATGTCAAAAAACCATCATTAACAGTTGGGGAGCAATAGCACCCCAATAGCACCCCCGGAGCTATTCGGCACCGAGCGGCGCTATTTCGGCCCCGAATATCACCGCTCGGGGCCGAAAAGCACCCCAGAATAGCACCGGTGCTATTTGCACAGAACATTGTAGTGTTGTTGTGATGCTATTCGGCGTAGGCATAGCACCCACCATTGCGGATGCGCGCAGGGGAGCAGTAGCACCGGCATTATTCGGCAAATGCCGCCTTAGTAAGGCGGCACGGCAGCCAATGAGAACCGTTCCTGGATAACTCCGCCGGTGCAATAGCGCCGATCGATAAAGATGCTCTTAGTAGAAAATGGGATGAGACAAGAGAATGTTTTCTTTTGGTAGATGGCAGGGTTTTCCGGATTCGGGGGGAGGGGTTCTGTGTGACACGGAACCAACAGTGCGATAAGATCAGCAAGAGTGGACTGGGGTTCATGCCCAACATCGCCTCCAAGGTGCAAGGGCAGTGTTTTGTAATGTTTATGTGACAAATGTAATCAAAAGATTTAAGAAGGGCTGGCTTTTGGGCATAATGAATGATTAAGAATGAATGATTGAGAATACAAGGGTTTGATGGTGCGATCAGACGTATCCAACACAAAGCCACGTGCCGAGCCATTTTGAAAAGAATAACTGCTGAACCGGCTCCTCAGGAAACACGGTAGTGTGCAAAACTGTATCTCCCAGCAGGTGTACAATCGTGCCGCATGATGAGGACATGTGCGATCCAACACATCACAGCCAGCTACGCACAGCCCGCTAATCCAACAAGTCGATACACTTGATGAACAAGACCAGGGACCCCCAAAACCCCATGGATCACGCCCCAATCTGTTCAATTACTAATTCTCCGTGCCAGATGCACAAACAGAATAAAATGTCTCAAAGGAATATCTCACAGGATAACGTACTTGATCTTACTCTACAGGTGGCGGACACCACCGGTAGAAAATGGCATGTTTGTGATGCCAACTGCGATGCCATTTTGACACAAAATGATGCCGTCACAGTCACTGCGACGGCATATAAATTGGCTGTGATGGCATCAATTTGTGTCAAAATGGCATCGCAAGCATGCTGTTTTCTACCAGTGCACCCCATGGCCAACGCAGAGTTGCCCTCAACACAAGTGGTTCCATATCGAAAACTGCATTTAACTTCCAACGTCCCAATTCCGAATCACCATCCACGGCGCCCATCCATAATCAGCCCAGCCACTTTCCAAACTGCCTTCACCTTTTCGCACCTTGATACCCACCTCTGCGCAGCACAACAAGCACGTTTTCCAAACTTATCACAGATACATGATCCAGTCCATTTTACTGAGCTATTATCCTCTTTCTTGGTGTCTTTGCACACTAATGCCTGAAATAGGCTTGGAATAGCGTGCAGCACTCATCTGCAAGCAGCGACGTGGCTGCAGACCAGCTGCTTGGCAAGGAGGATGGCCACACATCAAGGTGAACGCTTTCTTTATGCTGGAGGCCTTGTTGCAAGTAGCAGGTTTGCTGCCCTCAAGCAGCCAACAGCCAGGCAGGACAGAAAGACCCGATCTGCTGGCCAGCCTTGACCAAGCCCAGCGGCCATGTCCTGTCCGTGGGATACGTCATGCATCCATGCCTAGAAGCAGTGTCTAAGCCCGTCCTGCACCGCACAAACAAAAACACCCTCTAATATGAAAATTCTGACATTTTGCTACTTGAGCGATGCATTTCACGTGCATTTCATCAGTATTCTGCATTCTAAAAACACGAAAACAACCCAAACCCGTAAGCTTTGTACACGTTTGAACACGTGTTATTTGGACCTTTTTCCTAGTGACTTTGTTCTCATGGTTGACGTCTGCGCCAGCAGCCAACAGCTTTTCTGTAGCAGCGCCTTGGCGGTGAAGATCGGCAAGCAGCAGCCCTGTGATTCCCTCCTGTGCACAGTGCAGCAACGCAGGTTTGCGATGCAGCAACATGGGGTCCACGTTGAAATGCTCCCGCAAGCATGTTTATTTATGAGCCACGACAAAGCTGGCATATGCTGGCCATCACTTTTCAGCGCTGTTCAAAACCTTCCCCGCATTCCCACTTGGGCAACGCCGTAATGCCAACACGCCCATTTCTCATGGCCTCAAATGCCCCTTCTGCAGTGCAGCCGCTTCTACAGTACAGACACTCGTGCACTCAGGGTCCCCACAGGCCGCAGCATTCCTGAGGCCTTTGCAACGACGCAGGGGCCGTTGCACCTG